GCGTTATTCTGGGACCCGGCGGGAGCTGGCACGTCTCATGTGTCCTTTCCAAAGATAGCAGGGTGGGGATGGCATGGTGGTGTCTGAGGCCGGGCCAGGGAATAGCCGTGCCCTGTGGTGGCCCAACACGGTGAGGGAGCGGCCCCATCCAACCACGAGCGACAGGAGTCATCAGGTCTGTGTGTCTCCTACCAGGGTGGAGTCAGACCACAGATGGGTGTCACTGCGGAGGCCTGTGAGGCTTAATGGCCAAGACAACAGAGCCTGGAAACCTCGGGCAGGCACGGTCTTCGCAGATTGAGAAACAGGACCGGAGACATGCTCCACGGTCTAGCGCAGGCTCTGTCCCTGGGAGGGACACCCCTGACACCGTGTGGCTCCCTGAGCTGGGCTGGGAATGACCCCCGAGCACTGGGCTGGGAGCAGCCTCTTAAAACCGCTGGGTCTGCCCCCCAGTACTCAGTGAACGAGTAACGTATTAGCAGCAGTCGTACTGCGTTAGGAGTCACAGTGGAAGGAATAGGAACCACGAGTAACGGTGGTGACAGTCCCGCTGTTGCGACCCTGGATGATACCAGGGACAGGAAGAGGGTGTGGGTGCACATACGGCCCTGCCCCTGCCGCTGGCTGGCGCTGTGATCGAGGCTAGATCCTGTTGCCTTTTGTTCACTTATTTATTTTGGGTTTTGGGGTCCCACCTGGCAGTACTCGGGTTACTCCTTGCTCCGCACTCGGGAATCACTCCTGGCGGTGCTCGAGGGACCCTGTGGGATGCCGGGGATCGAACCCGGGCCGGCTGCGTGTGAGGCAAATGCCCGACATACTGCTTGCTCCTCACCCCCAACCCCTCTGTGGACTTTTAGTTTGTCTCTGTGAAACAGGATCACTGGAGTGTTTTAAGATTTCCTGGGGGGAGGGGGCAGAGGGACGACGGTACAACAGAGAGGGCATTTGCCTTGCATGGGGCTCACCCGGGTTCGATCCCTGGCATCACAGATGGTCTCTCTGTGCACAGCCAGGAGTAATTGCCGAGCATCACCAGGTCTGACCCAAAAAAGACAGGGAAAAAAAAAAAGATTTCTCTGAGTAGTAAATGACCTTGTCTATACGGAATGTCCAGCATGCACAACTGGTCCCGACAGAGCCCCGGTGTTCCATGGGTTCCATTCCTGGGCCACATGCAGGATCTCATTTCATTGTCCTGACAGCCCCATCCGGCAGTGGCTTGCCTTGTGCCCGTTTTGCAGGTAGGTACGCTGAGGCACGGGGTGGTGAGCTACCTGTTCAAGGTCCCCACGTGGCGGCCACCCTGGGACCGGACTGCCTGCTCCAGTGCTCCCTGCCCTCTGCGCGGCCAGGCTACGACCTCCCCGAGTGGAGGCAGTTAGTTTGGGGAGCGGGCTACTTGGGGTGTGGAGGTAAGTGATGTCCTCTGGGAGGCTGGCGCAGATGAGCCAGGAAGAGCCAGGGATGACTGTGACCCATGTTCCAATTGGGGCTGGAGCTCCTCTGCCCGCAGGGGTCCCCTAATTCTCCCGGGACTCGGCCTGGGAGTCACCTGCGCCGCTCCCCTCTGGTCTGCAGTTCCAGGGGCCTCGCTGGTCTCGAGGGCCAGGGGGCCTGGCTTTTTCGGATGGCTCCGAGACCGAGACGGAGACTTTTTGACAGGACAGTCCTTCAGCTGAGGTTCCAAAACTGCGTTTTCATGTGGTTCCCAGTGGCCCCCGTCCAGGAATAACATCTCAGACATGCAAATTGGAGGCGAGTTCGGAGTTGTGCCTGGTGCCCTGCGAGGATGGAACAGAGAGGACCTCAGCTGGCGTGGGGACACGGTGCGCCGTTTCCAACCAGCGGTGCTTGGAGCAGCGCCAGTCCGCAGGTGGAAAGGGGCGGGAAGCCACTGGGCTACCCTACCCTTTGCCATCCCTTCCCGGGAGACCTACACTTGCCCTGTCTGACACTTCCAGGAAGGGTAGGTGAGAACACTTCTGAGTCTCTGCCCACCCGGTCATTCCCCTGCCTACCTTCCTGCCACCCACCAGCCTGTCCGCCCACCTACCCATCACCTACCCTCAATCCACCCATTCCTCCATCACCCACTCTATCCGTTCGTCCTTCACCCATCCACACCTGCCCATCTACCCCATGCACCCCATAAGCACTCACAGAGCCTTGAGTAAGTCATGAATCGTATCAGCTACAGCCCCCCGCCCCCCCACCCCATGAAGACACTGTCCTCCCGTTCTTCATCGATTTGCTCGAGCGGGCCCAGTAACGTCTCCATCGTGAGACTTGTTGCGACTGTGTCTGGCATCTCGAATACGTCACGGGGAGCTTGCCAGGCTCTGCCGTGCGGGCGGGATCCTCTCGGTAGCTTGCCGGGCTCTCCGAGAGGGGCGGAGGAATCGAACCTGGTTCGGCCAGGCCGGCAGCATGCAAGGCAAACGCCCTACCGCTGTGCTATCGCTCCAGCCCCATACATAGGGCATAGGGTCAACATATGACCCATGAAGACATTGCTCTGGAAACAGCATATACAAAATACACAATACTTGAGCAGCTCTTTGGTAGAGCGCGACACATCTAAATGGACCTCCAGAAATCGGACTGCAAGGCAAATAATGAGACGCACAAGGGTGTGTGGCGGGCTACTATTTCTTCCTGTGGGGAGTGGGTTGAGGGCACAGCCCGTGGTGCTCAGGGCTTACACCTCATCCTGTGCTCAGGGATGACTCTGGTGGGGCTCAGGAGACCATACGCAGTGCCGAGGATCGAACCTGGGCTGGCCACATGCAAGGGAAACACCCGACCCCCTGTACTTACTATCATTCTGGCCCCTTGAGTCCTCTGTTGTGAGACCCGGAGCAGCCCCTGAAATAGCTTCAGCAAACTGCTTTGTGAAATACAACGTGTGGGGCGCTTACACACCTTGACCTCCCTCACCTCCCCGGCACCAGGCCCTCACCACGGAGCATCGGACTTCATGGGGTGTTGAGATCAGATGGGACTCCCTGTGACTCCGATGCCGAGTTATGGTGAGGACCCAGGGCTGGGCAGTGAGCTGGCCACATGACGGAACCAGGTGCTCGTTCATGCTCTTCGTGAGAACGCTCCTGGTGACCTCTGCCCTGTGGCTTGAACCTGTGTGGAACTCTGCCAGAAGGAAATGAGGTGAGAGAAGCGTGGGCTTGGGGGGGCTCAGCCCAGGAGCTGACCTCTTGAGTCGTTCCCTGGTTTGAAACAATGTCCACCGCTGACAGGCGCTATCAGAAATCATGTCACAGTCACGGTCCTCCCATTGTGCATCAATTTGCTCGAGCGGACCCAGTAACGTCTCCATTGGAGACTTTGTTGTTACTGTGTCTGGCATATCGAATACTCTCGGTAGCTTGCCGGGCTCTCCGAGAGGGGTGGAGGAATCGAACTCGGGTCGGCCATGTTGGCTGCGTGCAAGGCAAACGCCCTGCCGCTGTGCTATCGCTCCAGCCCCTATCAGAAATGGTGGGGTCCAGACGTCAGAGCCTGGTGCCGAGCAGGGCTTCAGCGCCAACTCAGAAATGCTCCCAGACCTGGAGAGGCCTGAGCTCGCTCGGGTTCACGAGGCCCTCTTGTGGCTAAAACTAGGCCAGCCTCGGAAAAGGGGGCTCGTGAAAGCCCTTTAAATGGTTTCTTCTTCTTTTTTAAAAGCTTTTTGGGTCACACCCAGTGATGCTCAGAGGTTCCTCCTGGCTCTGGTGACTGGGGGGCCACATGGGATGCCGGAGATCCAACCTGGGTCGGCTGTGTGCAAGGCAAACGCCCTCCCTGCTGCACTATGGCTCCAGCCCTAAGTGTTTTCATCCCCTTCAGCGGCCTCCCGGCTTATTCCGGGCTTGGGCTCTTCTGTTGCTGTGGCTGTTTGTGAGTGGCTTCTGATGAAGCAGGATGCAGTTCCGACAGCCGGGATGCTGACCGAAACATGTCATTTGAGAAATGACAGAGAACACAGTGGCAAGGGCAGGGTCACCACATGCAAGGAAGGGAGAGGGCCGGGCGCAGAGGGAGTGACAGGACACACCCGAGGGGACGGCTCGCCAGGTTCCACGCCGGTGCTAATTGGAGACTGCAAGGAGGACCTTGCTCTGTGATCTTCTCCACTGGTGGCCGAGGGAAGGGCCTTTCGAGTTCTCTGCCCGTCACCAGAGGACGAAGCATTTTTAACATGCGTAATGCCGAGGGCGCGGTCAGCCTATGCCTGAACGGGGAGGCAGCAGGAGAAGCGCGCTGAAGATCGAGGGGGGCAGGGGTGCAGAGAGGTGCAAACTCTCAGGAGACGGGGGCACCCTACCTGCCGGCTTGGGGCGGAGAATGGTTAGCACAGGTGATCAGAGAACATGGCTCATGCCTGACGTGTGGAAGGGAACTTTGCCTTGCTTTGGGGTCCACACTCAGAGGTGGCCCGAGGGGACCATATCTGGCGCTGAGGGTTCGATCAGGTTTGTCACAAACAAGGCAGCGTCTTACCCCCCGTACCGTACCTTGTCTCTTGTGGGGCTCAGGGCTTACTCCTAGCTCTGCACACGGAACACTCCTGGCAAGCTCAGCCCGCACGGGGTGCCAGGGATTGAATGTGGCCTGCTGCACCCGAGGCAAATGCCCTTCCTGCCGTACTGTGTCTGTCTGTAAGTCAAGTCCCACGTGTGCTTTCTGAGTCTACGGCGGTGGGATCCTAACGCTTCCCCAATTTCAGGCACTGGTGAAATCTCCCAGACACGCTTCAAGTTGTCAGTCTATTATGGTGCAGTGAGCCACGAGAAGTGTGGCCATCTGTGGTCACCATCCCCCTTGCTTCATACTCCCAATGCCTGACTTTGTGAAACCTCTGTCCACCATTCCTCCTGTCTGGCTGGCCTGGCAAAGAACATGTCAGCGTGGGCCAGCACCTAGGGGGACGCCACGGAGCCCTGGGCAGCACTTTCGTGGGTGGAAGAATCCGAGAGATGAGACTTACTAGAGAAAAACGTTGTCTCACGTTCTTTTATTGATATGTGTATGATGGTCTGCTTTATGTACAGGAACTGGTTCTGACACATCGTCACACCAAGGGAGCGGGCTGGTCATCTCCCTCCGACTAGGTTCGGGGGGGAGGGGGGTGCGCACTTTGTGAGCCGTCAAAGCTGGAGGCGATGCTGGTTTCAGTTCTGTGGCCAGACACACACAGGACTCGCTGTGGGCTGCGTTAAGGCGAGGAGTGGACGGGAAGGAAGCGCAGGACTCAGCACGCGGACACTGTGTCGGGTGACTCGAGGCACGACGGGGCAGCGGGTGTCGTGCGCGTGGCGGAGCTCTGCTGGGGCAGTGCTGGGGGCTGCTGCGCGACTACGGGGGCTGCAGGCGGGCTGGGCTGGGGCTGGCCCTGGCGCTCATTTCTTCTCGGCCTCTCCCTTCTTGGGTTCTTGTTTCAGCTTGTAGTCGGCCAGGGCAGCTTTGATGGCGTCCTCAGCCAGCACTGCAAGAAACCGGAAAGCAAGACAGCCTAAGTTCCTTTCCTTTCGGGTTTTGGGCGACACCCAGCAGTGCTCAGGCCCGACTCTGGGCGGTGCTCTGGGGACACAGGGCTGCCCGAGTGCAAAGCAAATGCCCTACCGGCTGTGCTTTAGCGCTGGCCCGCAGAGGGTCCAAGTTTCTGGACTGACTGGGGTCAACTTGGGGCTCTGGAGGCGCTGAGGCTGCCGTGCGGGTCGCGTGAGCCCTGCCTGCCACATCAGCCCCCGGGGAGGTTGTGGGGCTGACCCATGGCCCAGCTACCCCCGAGTCTGAGTCGGCTCCCGAGCTCCTGGCCTCCCCAGCCTCACCTGTGAAATGGGGCAACCGGGCCTTTCCTGCCGGGACAGTGCAGCGACTGCCATCAAGGGTGACAGAGTCGGGACCCACCAACAGCACTCGGTGGACAGCCAGGCCAGTTGGCTGGTGGCATGGCACTGGCACCAACACTCTGGGGTGCTATGCTGGACCGTAAGAGGTGAGAGCAGGAAGGGCAGCGGCAAGCCAGAGACCACAGGTGGCCGAGCAGCAGCAGAGGCTTTTCTGAAACTATGTGGGGATGTTTGCAAGCTGTGGCCTTTACTCAGGGGACTTGGAATTCCAGCCCCAGTGGGAAGGTCCCGGGTCTTCGATTCCCGGAGACTGTGTGCAGGTGCCTGGCCCAGCACATGGCTCTCGCCGTCTTAACTGACCCCGGCGAGAGGCCTGATTTCTGCAGTCTGAACGCATCTGATGAGTAACCTCCGAATGTGTTCAAGCTACCGTGTCTCATTCCCGCCTTAAGATTGCTGAGAGAAGACTTAAGACGGAGAGAACTGCAACATTTCAGCATGGGGCTCAGCGCACAGGTGCGCATGTGTGCATCACATGTCACACACATACACACACTTTCACTTTCACACGTGTGCCCACATGCACATGCTGCTGTTGACAGCCACCATTGGGCAAGAGTGATGACATCCACAATCAACAGGAACGGCCAAGGCTGCTGTTCCCCAGCTCTGGCCCTGCCTTGACGAAGATGGGGCCAGACCTGGCCTCACTCCCGCCTCTCCTAGTCTGCAACCCCAACTCCTCATCTGTAGTGGGGAAAGGTGATGGCACCTGTGAACTGAGATGTCCCAAAGGTCCAGAAACAAAGCCACAGAACACTCAGCCCGAAGTCTGGGCATCTTCCCCGTTAGAGTCCCCTGGGGATGATGGAGACCAACGGGGCGCTAATGTGGAAGGTCACGAGGACGGACTCCCTGATTAGACGGGGTCACTGGGGTCTTTGCAGAGTAACTGCGAAGCAGGCTGGCAGGGGTGGGCGCAGACTCACTGGAGCAGTGCAGTTTCACGGGGGGCAGGCAGAGTTCCTTGGCGATATCCGTGTTTTTGATGGTCAGGGCTTCCTCCACCTAGAGGATCCAGGGGAGGAGGAGCAGGTCAGCAAGCTGTGCCCCGGGGGTCAGGGGTGGAGCTGGAAGTCTGAGAAGTCTGTGGGGCGGGCCGCAGGCAGCGACTCCCCGGCGGGCTTTGTGCCTTGCGCTGTCCAGCAGAAACCCGCAGCCCCTCCCTGCGGGCAGGGAGGCTGAGGCCAGTGGCATCCCAGAAGGGCGGCAGAGGCAGGCGGGTCTGGGGACCGGAGCAATCACCAGGCTCCTCTGCGGCCTCAAGGCCAAGGCCTCCATGCTGACAAGGTGCCAAGGACACAGCACGCGGCAGGCGGGTTTGTGCCCACATGGGGGGGAGGCACTGCCCACCCCTCCCCCCCAGCTCTGCCAAAGCGCCAAGGCCTCACCCGCCTCCCTTTCCGGCATCACTCAGAGCGCCCTGGGGCAGGTCCGGGAAGGCAGGAGCCCGCCTCATGCCAGAGAACCCCCTGTGGCCTGGGCTCCCAGGAGAGCCACCTGAGGCCCGGAGCCATGTTAACAGGGGGCGTAGGCCTGGGACCATCTCCCTTGGCTGCTCGCTGCTGGGAAAAGTGGTTTTGGTGGAGGGAAGGAGAGAAAATGGGTCCCGGTCACGGGAGGGGCCTGCGGCCCGCCACCTGCAGGCTGCTCTTGTTTGTGTGTGTGTGTGTGTGTGTGTGTGTGTGTGTGTGTTCGTCCCATGCCTGTGCCCTTTGATCCTCTAATCCTTCCTTCAAGCCAGGCCCCGTGGTATTTCACGGTCCTTGGGAGTCACCTTTCGGCCTGCCTGAAACAGGACGGGAGGACGTAAACAAGCAGACGGTCCGCCAGGCCTCTCCCTGCCAGGACGACAGGCCACGGGCCTCCCCTGGGCCAGCCCCCGCAGTCCCGGGAGAGCAAAGCGGGAGCAGCAACCCTGGGGAGAGCCCAAGCTCCCTCTCCAGTCCCGCTCCCTTCTGAAAACTTGATTAACAGCAAAAAGGCACCAGCTGAACAAACCAACCCTCCCCCTCCCCGCCAAATTCCCAAATGAGCCAAAAGTCCCAGACGGAAAAGAAGGTAATCAAAACTAGGGTAAAAAAACCCAAAAATCTCAAGAGTGGTATTTAGGGAACTATCGGTCCCCTAGCCCCCGTGAACTGGGATGTCCCAGAGGTTCAGAAACAAAGACACCTGTCCCTGTCCTCCACCTGTCCCCAAGCTAAGGCAGGTCTGCGGGGAGCGGGGAGCGGGACGCGGGGTCTGACCGGTCGGCCTGGGGGCAGCCTTACCGTTTTGCCCTTCACCCACTCCGTGGCCAGAGAGCTGGAGGCGATCGCTGAGCCACAGCCAAAGGTTTTGAACCTGGCGTCCACGATCTTCCCCTTGTCGTCCACCTGAATCTAGAGAAGAGAAGGGCACTCAGCGGCGGCTCCTGCCACCAGCCCCGGAAGCGGTCTCCTGCGGAGGGCTCTGGCTGGAGCCAGAACTGAAGGTTCTTCAGTAATCCCGGCGTGAACTGCGGGGTAGGCCTTGTCCTTTTCTGTCAGGAGAACACAGGACAGCTCGCTAGCTGTTCAGATGACACGGGTGCCATGCGGAAGACAGGCCGGCTGGAGGGACACCCTTCTCTGCAGCTCTGCGCAAGCTTGGGGGACAGGATTCTTTTCTTTTTTTTGGTTTTTGGGGCCATACCCGGTGGTGCCTGGGGATACTTCAGCCTCCTCTACCCGTAAGGGTCATTTCTGGGTGTGTGTGTGTACGTGCATATGGGGGTGGAGCGAGGGTGCCCAGAGTTAAAATGGGCCTCCCAACGCGTGGCCTGTGCTCGAATCCTTTAAGGCCTCTATTCCGGCCCTGAATGTTTCTCGAAGCATCACCCTCTCTGGTCAATGCCTTCTTCTGGGAGCGCCCGACTCCATGCAGTGGTTCCTTCCTGTTTCTGTTTTCTGAGATAGGCAGGCCTCTGGCAAGCTGCCCACCCAGCCCGAGGCCAGCCACTGCCTTCTTGTTGTCTGTGACATGGGGGCTGTCTGATTTCCTGCATTTCGGGTCTCCGGGGCGACTTTAGCTGCGGTCTCCGTTTGACTGGTCAGGTCCACAAGACCTCTGACCTGGCCACACTGAGCTCACCCAGGAGAAGGGTGTTGTCGGTTTACACCCTGCCAGGGCCACCTGAGTGCTGCTCTAATCACGTGGGGCACTGACTCAGCCCATCCCATAGGAGTCAAGACGGGGAGCCTCAATGACACGCTCCGGGGACCAGGAGGTCCAGGACGACCGAGGGATGATCAGAGAGAGGCAGGGCGCCCGCCATACCTGCAATTTCATCACATCGCCACACGCCGGGGCCCCCACCAGTCCAGTCCCGACATTTTTCGATGTCTTGTCTAGGGAGCCAACGTTTCTCGGGTTTTCATAATGATCCACAACCTGGAACAGAGGGTGAAGAGAGACGCTGCTTTCGTGGGGATGGCTCAGTGGTCCCGAGCACAGGTCTGCAGGCTGGCAGAGGGAGGTTCCAGCCGCAGCACCACAAGGTCCCTCCCCGAGGCTCCCTGGGAGACAGAACCCTGAGTCGCCTCTGGCTGTACCCTATTCACCTTTCTTCCATAACTTCCCCCTCCCCAATCACTTCTTTTGGGTTTGATGTCGATCCCTCCAAGTCGAGGGTTCGGGTTTCAAAGCAAGCCCGAGATCCAATTCCATCTAAGGAAACCCATCAAGGTCGGGGAGAAAAGACCCGAGTCTTTTCTTCTTCTCCTTCCTCGGTCCCCCACCCCCTGGGGGAAAAGAACTTTTCGAGAGATGAGACCCTGGCTAACAGCCAGGAAGGGCCCATCTGCGTGATCCACAAATCCGAAGAGCAAGTGCGACTGCAACCCAGGGGGCTTCCGGGCCCAGTCTGGGTCGGAACCGGCCCTTTCCCGGGGGTCCGGGCCCGAACCCCCCAGCCCAGAACCGCAGCAGCCCTGGTCGGGTGGCCCGAGTCGCGGTGGCGTCAATCCCGACGACGTCGGGCCCACGGGTCAAGCCCAACCCCGGGTGGGCGGGCGGGCGGGCGGGCAGGGAGGCGCGCGGTCCTGGGCAGCCCAGCCCAGCCCGGTCCGGCACGGCCAGTCCCTCGCGCCGTTGGGCTCCGCGCCCCGGGCCCGGGCGACGCTCCTCCCACCCGCCGACCCAAACAACAGCAGCAGCAGCAGCAGACGCGGGGCTCGGGACCCCGGCCCGCCCCTCCGAGCCCCCCGGGGGTCTCCCGGGGGTGGCCCCGACCCTGCGGCGGGGGGGGGGCTGGCCCTCGGGGCGCCGGGCAGCGACCGGCCCAAGGTCACTCGGCCCGGCGGGGGCGGCGGCGGCCGGAGTCGGGCCGGCGGGGGCGGGGGTCGCTCCTCGGGCGCGGCGAGTGGCCGGGTCGCCCCCCGCCCGCCCCCGGCCCGCCCAGCCCCGCCGCGCGCGCTCGGCCCGGGCCGTTGCACCTGCCGGGGCGCGGGGCGCGTCCCTCCCGCGGGCGCAGCCGTGCCCGGCGGGCCCCGCCAGCCGCCCCCGCGAGCCGCCCACCTTCTTGTGGTAGAGCCGCGCCGGGGCCGACAGCTCCCGGGCGGGCAGGCGCGGGCTGCCCAGCAGCAGGGCGGACGCCGCCCGCCGCAGACGGCCCGCTCCGGCCGCCGCCATCTCCCGGGCTGCGCCTGCGCACGACGCCCGCCCGCGGGGGGCGGGGCGGAAGGAGGGAGGCCCCGCCCCGTCCGCCCCGCCCCGCCCCGCCCCGGGAGCGCGGCGCGTGCGCCGACGTCACCGCGCCCGCGACTCGGCCCCGCCCTCCCGGGGGGCGGGCGCGCGGGCGGGGCGCGCGGGGCGGGAAGGTCCAAGTTGCAGGAACGAGGGTCGTGCCGCCCCCTGGGTCCGGGCAGGGGCGACTCGAGCTCGCGCTCGCCGAGCCCGTGGCCGGAGCCCAGGCGCGGGCTGCCCGGTTCTGGTGCCTGAGCCTTTAGCCTTGGAAATCGGGGGAATTCGGGAAATCGAGGGCGAAGGGGTTGAGGGACTTGTCCCGGGTTGCAGGAGCGTCAGTTTCCCTTCTGGTGGTCCAGGTTCTTCTGGGCCGCCCCGGTCTGTAAAACCTCCGGCGCCGTCCAGGCCCGGTGGGTCGGGGCGAATGACGTCATCCCCTTCCGCCTCGAGCTTTAAAAAGCATCTCATGGCATGATCTTTTTTCACATTTTTTTGCAGCCGACATCCGGCCGTGCTCAGGGGTGCCTCCCGGCTCATGCGCTCAGGAATCACTCCCGGCGGTGCTCGGGGCACCCGGTGGGATGCTGGGACTCGAACCCCGGGCGACCCCGTGCAAGACAAACGCCCCACCCACGGTGCTGTCATTCCAGGCCCATAAAACCTTTTCCGACGGTGTGAGGGCAGTTATTTTTATTTCTATCCACTCACCACCCAATATCCAAAGCCGAGAAGGCTTTGGAGATCAACGAAATATCCCAAGCGATTCTCGATGCGATTCAACCCGCTGATAGACAATAAGCCTGGCGCCCGGCAATGCTGTGCTCCTTTGAAAAAGGGAAGATCACTGGTAAAGGAAACAAGCACTGGTTTTCGGAATGCGTCTTATGTTCATGTAAAGAATTCACAAGTTGGATGCCGACCTAGCTCCCGAACACTGAGTATATAGTTTACTACCGTGGGTTTGCAGAGTACGAGTTTATAAGATTAGCAGGTGTCACGTAACGCCCACAGGCGCCAGCTATCAATAAGAAGGCGGGATCTCGTTGGGAACTGGGGCTTCAACGAAATGGTGGAATCGCTCTTTCCCCGAGGAGTTGGATTTTCCTTGCGTTCGAGGTTCAGTCGCTGGGGCGACGACCACTAACCCGAAGCGCCGAGGCGGGTGCCCCGAGAGCGCTTGACCTGCTCAAGATGGCGCCACGCCCTTCGCTAGCGACATCACGCTCCCTCCATAACGTCCCACGGTTTTCACTTCCGGTGCCAAGGCCCAGGCTCTGCCCGAAGATGTGCTGGACCCCGCGGCGCGTCGGTCGAGCGTTTTCTCAGACGCGGACCCTTCACCGGCCCGTGAGACGCCGACGCCGGCTGGCCAGAGACGTCTTCGGTCCCGCGAGGCTCCGGCCCGCCTTCCCGAGCGGCGAGAGTGCGGCGTTCCGGTCAGGCGCGCGCCGCGGGCAGCCTGCGCCCCCGCCGGTCTTGCGGCGGCCGCCGAGGACCCCGGATCGCTGGGCGCGCAAGATGGCGGCGGCGGCTGCGAGCGCGGCTGCGGGGCCGGAGGCTGAGCCCGGGGCCGGGCCCGGGTCCGAGGCGGGGGAGGCCGAGGGGAGGCCGGCCAAGGCCCGGAGGAAGGGGCCGTCGCGGGCGGGGGCCGCGGCGCCCCGCCAGGCCATGGGGCCGGAGTGGGAGCGGCGGGAGGAGGGCGCGAGCGAGAGCGACGGGGACCCGGAGGAGGAGGAGGAGGAGGGGGAGGGGGAGGAGGGGGAGGGGGAGGACGCGGCGGCCTCGTCGGCCGAGAGCTCGGCCGGGGAGTACGAGTGGGAGTACGACGAGGAGGAGGAGAAGAACCAGCTGGAGATCGAGCGCCTGGAGGAGCAGGTGGGCGTGGGCGTGGGGGTCCCGCGGGTCCCGCACGCCCCCCAGTGCCGGGCGGTGCCCCCCGAGCTGCTGGAGTCCCCCCCCCTGCTTGGGGGCGCAGCCGAGTTTAGCTCCGGGGGGTCCACCCCGCACCCCGCACCCCCCGACTCGCAGCGGTGGTGCAACGAGCACGGGCCGAGCCCAGGTCGAGGGGTCCCCAGCCCCGTGGTCCACCCGGGAACTAACTGCGGGGCCGGGGCAGGACCCGCTTTCTGCAGGCGCGCTGCAGAGCCGCCCTCGGTGCAGGGCGCGGTGAGTTTCCCTGCGGGGATGCAGGGGCTGGGCTGGAACCGCCCCCCTCTCTCTTCCAGGGCCCTGCTGGAGAGAGAGCTGGAGAGCGAGGAGGGGCTTTCTGCTGGGGGCCCTGGGAGGGCGCGTGGGGCGGGTTCGGAGGGGCGTCTGGACGCGACGGAGCTGGCTCCTGCTTGGTGGGCGAAAGGCAGACACTCCGGGGTGGGCCAGGGGACAGAGGTGCTCAGAGTCCCCCTTTCGGACCCGGGGACAGGTTTGCTCCGAGTCGCCCCTGCGGAGCTGGGCAAACTCCGGGCCAGAAGTTGTTTTGCAGCGGTGACGCCCTTAGCCCAACTGGGTATGGCTTTGCCCAGGGACATCAGTGGGGATGTTTTTGTTGGGTGTTCCAAGTGGTGATGACCGCTTCGTTCCTTCCACGGTCATCGCCAGGGATCGGTGAAGACGCCGGTCCGAGGGGTCACCGTTTCGGCTTCTTATGAGTCGATTGGGTCGTCCGGTTAGTTTTTCTCGAATAGACGGGGCGTGAGATGGGAGCGCCAGGTGGGTAGTGCCCCTGTCTTTGGAGGGATCTGCCTTGCAGGCTTGACACTTTTCTTTTTTGGGGGGTGGGTAGTCTGAGGTCACACGTGGTCACTCCTGGTGAGGCAGTGGGACCGTTTGGTGCGCAGAATCGGGGCACCCAACCGGGCCCTGCATGCTAAGCAGGCTGGCAGCCCTCTGAGCTTCCCCATCCAGGATTTCGGCCCTGAGCCTTTCTTTCAGAGAGCTGTGTGCCCCGTCGGCCCTCCCTCTCCGCGAGCGACGGGAAAAGGGCTTATCTGGCCGAAAGGAGTGGGTGCTGGGTGCCAAGGTCAGGTCCTGGCCGAGGGCCCCTTGCTTGCTTTGGAGAATGGCTTTTGCTGCCCATGTGCTCACTGTGGACTGTCCTGCCTGTGTGGGTCGTCAACAGTGGGCAGCTCCCCCCCAACCCCCCCACCCTCAGCACATGCTGTGTGAGTCCAATTCCCCTGAATCTCAGCCTCTAGTCACAGCTAAAAGATTTTCTGGGTGTTGTGTGTGTGTGTGTGTGTTTGGATCTGAAGTTCAAACGGGCCCCTCACGGTGTCTTGGGCAGACTTGGGAGCGCAGACCAGGGCAGCGTGTGTGGCCCCGGCTGGGCACTGGCGAGGCATCGCACAGCCGAGTTCAGCTCCCTGTGCCAGTGACATCCCCGTGGGTCATTTATTTCCTTTTGGTTCTGGGGCCACACCCTGCTGTGCCCGGGACTGACACTGGCTCTGCCCTCGGGATCCCTCCTGGTGGGGCTCGGGGGGAATATCTGCGATGCCCCGAACCGAACCGGGTTTGGTCACGTGCGAAGCGAACACCTTCTCTGGCCCTCCGGGGGGTGACCTGAAGGTTGGAATCGGGTCCCCCACGCGGCTGCCACCGAGCTGACACAGCCCCACGCGCCCAGAGCTCCCGGCACGGTTTGTCACGTGGCAGCCTGGTCCGGCCTTGAGGCCGCTGCTATTCCTCCTCCCCTGTGAGCGGGAGGTGGGCGTCAGCAGCCGACCTCAGACCTCGCAGGGTCCTGGCGAAGCCTCCTCTCGCTCTGACGTGCGGGTCCAAACGCCCCGTGCCGGGACCAGAATAGAGCGCACATTGCTGGCACTAAAGGGGCTCTGAAGGGGGCTCCTGTACTTCTCGGCACCTCCACATAGAGCAGAGCCTATATTTTGACCTTTAAAGAACAACAAAGCAGACATTTAGGCCCCAGATTTTATCTGTGTCACTGGGGGAGGGGCGGATAATACAACCCCAAACACCCAGATGTTTATACGGAACCCTCCCGAGGCGGTTTCATGGAGAGCTGCATTCGCACCGACTCGCTTCCCCCATCCGCCTCGGCCCTCCCGAGCCCCGCACTGGCCACATCTGCCTCCCAGCGGTGACGCTCCTGCCCCCGCAGCCTCCTTCCTGCTCACAAGCCGTCTTCCCATCCGATCCGGGTGGGCCGAGAGTGATGGGGTGGCAGGGAGCGCCTTGCAGGTGTTCAGCAAAGTTCACCCTCTCCAAATGTCACTTCGGTGTTCCCCAGGTGACATGCTTGACAGTTCAGTGGGGAACTCAGTGCATCACGACAGGCCCCCGCTCAGCCAGTTACTTTCTCAAATCCGTGTGCTTGCATCTCTTTTTTTTGGAAATAAAATGATTTTGGGGGGACGTGCCATAGGGATCAGTGGGAGACCCGGTGGTTCCGGGAACCCGCCCTGGGCTTCAGGAATGCCCAGCACGAGCCCCGTCACTGACCCCGTCTCTCTGGTCCTTCTTTCTCTTTCTACGCTTGGAGTCTTTCTCCTCTGGCTTTGACCTGGCTCTGTGCTCAGGGCTCACTTCTGGGTGATTAACCAGGCAGGGCTGACCACACGCGAGGCAAGTGTCTTAACCCCCGCATTATCTCAGCCAAAACTTGTATCTGGATGCCGGGGATTCGGCTCAGGTTGAGTTCTTGCCTTGCGTGTGTGGGGCCCTGGATTTGGTCCCAGACGGATTACAACCAAACCACAGCAAATTAGAGGGATCTGAAAAGTGGCCACGTGGTGAAAGAAAGGCCGACTGCAGTCAGAAGGTCCCCACAGTGGGGGGAACGGAAAGTGCGTGGACACTGAACAGCAGACAAAGGACTGCCACGTTAGCGGGGTAGATGGAGCACTCACAAAACTCAGCAACAGAAACACAAACTGCCCCACGGAAAATGGGGCGAGGGGCTGAATAGATCCTTGCACAGATGCCCAGCAAGCAGAGAAGAAAGTGTCCGCTGGTGATCAGGGAGGTGTGTCAATCAGAGGGTGTGTGTGTGTGTGTGTGTGTGTGTATCTGAAATTCAAACGGGCCCCTCACGATGTCTTGGGCAGACTTGGGAGCGCAGACCAGGGCAGCGTATGTGGCCCCGGCTGGGCACTGGGGAGGCATGGCACAGCTGAGTTCAGCTCTCTGTGCCAGTGATGCCCCCCACACCAGGAGAATGGCCTGGATCAGAAAGCCTGGAGCCACCAGTTCTGACAGCGTGGCAGGACAGGACTCCATTCTCTCGTCCCGGGGATGTCTTCTGGCCCAGCATCTATGGAAAGCACTTTTGTTTGTGGGGGTAGAGGCAACGCCCAGGGATGCTCCAGGGTTTACTGCTCCTGGCTCTGTGCTCAGGAATTACTCCTGCACTCAGGAATTCGGGGGACCATGTGGGATGCCGGGGATCAAGCCCAGGTCGGCCTCGTGTTGTGCCTCATGTTGTGCTCATGTTATCTCTCCAGCCCTCTATGGAAAATAGTACGTCAGCCCCTGAAAATATTAAAAATGGAACTTCCATGTACTCTGGAGAGCCCGCTTTATGACATTCATGTCAAGAAAACTGAAACACGAACATGAGAAGGTCTCTGGTCCCCTGTGTCCACTGCAGTCTTGTTCATATACAGCCAAGGCCTGGACACGGCCCCAGTGCCCAGTTGCTTGCTGGTGGGCAGATAAGTTGAGCTGTCTGTACAATGGAATACTACTCGGCTCTGAGTAAAGATGGAATCCTGCCTGCCCTTACCACTTCGGTGCAGCTTTAAAGTGTCAAATTCCTTGGAAAAAAAAAGTCACGTAGAAGGACACATACCCACCGTTTGCACTCGCGTGCGGGGTACAGAGAAACCAAGCAAGGGACAGGGCTGGACAAAAAACGAACCCTGGGACCCCTAAGCCCCGTGCCCAGCCAGAAAAACGTGATTGTTCTAAACTTTCAGTTTGAAGCTTCCGGCCCAGTAGTGAACCCTAGTCACCCAGCCCTCCACCTCAGCAGATCCCAGAACCCAACAACGCTGTTTTTCTCTTGTCTCTGGCACGTTCCTGAATTCCCTTCTAAACTCCTCACGGCCTTGTCCATTCGAAGCCAGTGGTCTCCCCACATGATAGATGAGGAAACGGAGATGAATGATCTCTTTAAGATCACATTTCCTCTGTTTTCTTCACTTGATGTGTCCTTCTCTAGAGAGCCCAGGAGTGCTCCGCGCAGTTGGGACGGAGCCCTGGGCGTGTGAGGGTCGGCTGTCCCGGGGCTCCGCCTTCTCTCTTGGCCGCCCTCCTCCTGGGGCTGGAGAGGATGTCGCTCCCGGGAGCACGCTGAGGATTCTGCGGCCCGGGAGGATGAGTGTGGCTGGTCCCCACGGGTGATGGAGGCTGAGTGAATTTGCTTGGGGGGGGGAGCGGCGGGGGGGCGGTTTGTTTGCTTTTAGCTTCTGGTCAGGTAAACCCTGCGATGCTCCGGGCTTACTCCTGGTTCTGCACTCGGGAATCACCCCTAGTGGTGCTCCAGGCCCTAGAGGATGCCAGGGGTCGGCCGCATGGGAGGCAGACGCCTGGCCTGCTACACTGTCCCTCTGGCCCTGGCCGAGTTATCTTGATGGGGACATTTGACGTGCCACCGTCTGTCTCCTTCAGCTGTCCATCAACGTCTACGACTACAACTGCCACGTGGACCTGATCCGGCTGCTGCGGCTGGAGGGGGAGCTCGCCAAAGTGCGCGTGGCCCGCCAGAAGATGAGCGAGATCTTCCCTCTGACGGAAGGTGAGGGGGGCGCCGTCGTGTCGCGCGCCCGAGTGGGCCCCGCTCCTCGCAGGGAGCTCGGAACCAGAGTGTGAGCGCCGGGCCGGCCCGCTGTGCCTCTGGGGGGCAGGTGGGCGCTGTCGCCTCCTGTCTCACCACCTGTCTGCGGGTGGCCGGTGGTAGCGCAGCGGGGGCCGTTGTCTTGCAGAGCTCTGGCTGGAGTGGCTGCACGACGAGACCAGCATGGCCCTGGACGGCCTCGACCGCGAGCACGTCTACGACCTCTTCGAGAAAGCCGTGAAGGACTACATTTGTAAGTGTCCTCGGGGCTTCTCCTGACCGCCGTGGGGGCTCTGGCTGTTGCCCTCCCCGATGGTGGGCGTGGTGGGCAGGGCCCAGATGTGACTTTTTTTTTTTTTTTTTTTTTGGTTTTTGGGTCACACCCGGCAATGCACAGGGATCCCTCCTGGCTCCGCACTCAGGAATTACCCCTGGCAGTGCTCAGGGAACCATATGGGATGCTGGGAATCGAACCCGGGTCAGCCGCGTGCAAGGCAAACGCCCTACCCGCTGTGCTATTGCTCCAGCCCCCCAGATGTGACCTTCCGGAAGTCTCCTCTCGCGAAGGGACAGCGCTGGAGGCCTCGGGCTTGCGGGCTTGCCTGGCCTCCCAAGGGCTTTGTCGCCGTGGGCGGGTTCGTCTCCATTTGTGCTCTGTCGTCTGTGTGGCAGCTTTACATGGGTCAGTGACAGCAGAACTGATGGCTTTCTTTGAAACGGGTTTGCCAGCGAAAACGCAGGCCCCGGGAAGACACTCAGAGGCGTAAAAGTGTAGGAACCTTCTTCTGTGAAGGCTCACCCCTAGGGCGACTCACCCGCGTTCCTCCTGTTTTGCGTTTTCTTTGAAAGTTTGCAGATTTTCTGCCCTGAACTGATAGAGCAACCCTCTCTCACGCGTAGGTCCGAACATCTGGCTGGAGTATGGCCAGTACTCGGTTGGCGGGATTGGTCAGAAGGGCGGCCTGGAGAAGGTGCGCTCTGTGTTCGAGAGGGCGCTGTCGTCCGTCGGCCTGCACATGACCAAGGGACTCGCCATCTGGGAGGCCTACCGGGAGTTTGAAAGCGCGATTGTGGAAGCCGCCCGGGTGAGTGGCCCACCGCGTTCGCCTTTGAGTAGTTGGGCTGTTTCAGCATCACCTGTGTGAGTCCCTTGGGGGTGAGCGATCAGGTAAATTGGCAAGACGGGTTTTGACCAGAAATACCGTTGGTGCTGCAGTTTCTGTTGTTTAAAAACACCCACTGCTTTGGTTCACATGGTTCGGAGACACAAGGTAGCCATGCCCCTCCCTCCCCGACACCACCTCTGTGTTTCCACCCTTCATAGCCTCAGAACCCAACACTACAGACAAGCTACAACATCTGGGTCCTGGGGTCACCTGTGTCTCAGGATACTTAATCTTCTGCCTCCTTATAGTCCCCTGGTGACTTAAAAAAATAGAAAACAATCCTCCTTTCTTCCTCCCATTCTGTTTTCAGCAGAAGCTGAGGGAATGTTGCTTTTTTGGAGTCTGGCATTCTTGCCATAGTTGGCAGGATACTTTGTAGAGAAGTCATAGTCTTAGTTAGACTTTATTGTGAGAGGTGTTTTTTTTTTTAAAGTAGGAAGAGCCAGAGTTTGTCATTTACTGCGAATTTGCTTCTTTAGCCCATAGCTGTCTTCCTTTCCCCTTTTGACCGGGAACAAACCTTTGCTTCACAGCTTGAGAAAGTGGACAGTCTCTTCCGGCGGCAGCTGGCCATCCCCCTCTACGGTAAGAGAAACCCACTTGGCAGCAGCTGATGTTTGAGGTGTGCTGGGGGGCGTGTCGTGGAATCAGGCGCCGTGTGGCCACGCACGAGGCCGGTGTGGCTGGTGTTCACATTCTCAGTGGACAGGCTCACCATGGACAGGCCCCCTGGTCCAAGCCTCTCCGGAATGGCCCAGAGGAATCACAAGGGCTCGGGGGAGAGCCAGGAGGCAGACTGACTCCAGGCTTAAGAATTGTTGGGGAGCCAGAGAGGAGGTTTCTGAGAGGACAGAGGGATATTGATCCCCTTGCGCTTATGGGGATTTATCGAGAGCGCCATGGAACACTCCAGGAGACCTGTCTTCTGCGACAGAGCGAGGCTTTGCACGACTTACTTTACGTCACATCATTCGGTGGTGCTCTGGGTCAGGAGCATTGCTGGGCAGGGTTGGAGGTGGGTTCCCTCCCGTGAGGGGGTCCCTGTCGTTGGGCGCATGTGGCTCGGCCGCCCTTTGACGGTCTGCAGCACGAGTTGACGTGTTCCTGAGTTAGGACAGTTTGGGGCTGCTGCCTGGTTTGATTCCTCAGCGTGGTGTGCTGTGGGCCCTCAGAGTGTCTGACAGCCTCCTCGGAAGTCATGCATTAAGTCTCTTTTTACTTCCTGGCTCTTTCTGGATTTAATTTAGCCTAGAGGAAAGTGTCTCCCCCACTACATCCTTGGGTGACCTACAGAAAGGTTTCGAAAACTGAGCTGGCTGCTGGTTTCGTCTCGCACACCAGCGAGCAGCCGAGTCCCATCGTGAGTGGGCCTCAGAGCGGGGCCTCACTGCCTGGCTCAAAGCCTTGGGCTCCTGGGAACTGTCGATGACTTATGTGACCACCTCAGCTGGGAGATGGATTTTCAGTCCATCCTGCCTCGGGGAGTTTTGAGAGTTGAAAGCGTTTCGGACCACGTTGGCACTAGGTAGATGTTCGTCCGTTCGGGTAGCTGTTGGTGCCGTTAGCTGGTTAATTGGTTGGTCGGGACCCCGAGGCAGTGCTTTGAGATGGTCTTAGGCCCAGTCGAAGCAGTTGAGCCGAGAGTACCGCCAGGAAGGGCTGTTGTCTGTGGCCCCAGATGTGGGAGGCGCCGTAGTCACGTGGGTTAGCCTGTCTGGGCTGATAGCCTCCATGGCAAGATCCATGGGGCTGAATCCATCTTTCAACAGATATGGAGGCCACGTTTGCAGAGTACGAAGAATGGTCCGAAGACCCAATCCCAGATTCGGTCATTCAGAGCTATAACAAGGCCCTGCAGCAACTGGAGAAGTACAAGCCCTACGAAGACGCACTGGTAAGAGGGGCTGCTCTGTGACGGACTTCTCACTAGTTTCCCCCGGTCAGTTGGAGCAAGTAAAGCATTGCCTTGGAGATCTTGTTTCATTGTGAAAAGTTTTTTTTTTAAGAGAAGTGTGTGTGTGTGTGTGTGAGTGTGTGAGTGTGAGATGCTGGTGATGCTCTACTCCTGGCTCTGTTGTTAGGAGTCCTCCTGGAAGTACACTGGGGGGTCTGTGTACGATGCCACGGAACCCTGTTCTGCTCTGCGCAGGGCAAGCGTCATGCCTACCATGCTCTCTCTGGCCCCTATTATGAAAAATTTAGAGTGTGGAGGAACACGTGCAGTCATACAGTTAACATACTAACAGTGCAGTGAACATCCCCGTACCCACCCAGGTGCAAGAAATAGGGCATTGCCAGGCCCGTGGGAGTCTCCCGCATGACCCTCCGTAGACTGCCTCCCGGGAGAGCTCCTCATTTTCCTGGTTTTTAGGATTATTTTTCTGTTGCTTTTCTTTGTAATTTTGCAGCCTCTGAACGCATTCTTAGTGAATCCATTGTTTCCTCTTGCTTGCTTTCTAACCTCTCTGTAATGGAAACTTGGTTTATTTTCTTTCATTCGAGTCTCTCGGGTTTTACTCCCGTTGGTAAGTGTGGTTCCAGCGTGTCTGTCTTTTCCCTCACAATTTTGTGCGTAAGCGAGTTGGGCTGTTTCTTGATCTCTGCTAGGTTGAGCTGTATTGCTCAAACCGTTTGGTGTGTCCGTTTTGGCATCCACCAAGAGAAGCGCTCGTCACCGTGGAGGGAGTGGGGCTTCGGGGCCCTCGGCCATCGCTGAGCAGTGGTCCTTCGTCGCTTCTCCTCCGCTCCGTAGCAGAGGTCTCTGCGCCTCTTGCCAGCCTGACCTACTGATTTGCGCCTGGCAGTTAACCGGCGTGATGAGTCTGAAACGGAAGTTTTCTTTTGTGTTTGGCCAAGTGTCGTGACGTCGAAATGCCTGTTGGCCGCTCGGGTGTCTCCTTCTTTTGCGAAGGACCCGTTGAGGTGCTTCACTCATGTTTCTGAAGGTCCGTCTTTTCTCGCCGAGTTGTGGGTCCCAGATCACTCTTCTGTTCGGTTGTTCGTTTTGTATCGCAACGTGCCGCACGTGAGTTTTGTTTTCCCTTACGGCATCTTTGGCTCAACAGGCCTTGATTGTGCTTGGATTTCTGAGTTGTCCTTTGGTTGGGATTGAGAGAAAACTCCTACTATTTCGAGTCATGACTGTGCTTGGCTTTGTTTTCTTCTGACAGTTGAGAGATTTGTATTGCGACTCAGGGCTTCCCCAGGGGTCTGTGTTTGTGTCCGCGCTGAGATGGGGTCCTCATGTCTGCTCTGACAGAGGTGAATCCCGTGTCCGCTCTGAGGTGGCTCCTTACGCCTTGCTCAGAGCCTGTCCCACCGGCACTGCTGTTGGTTTCACTTTGGCCTCAGTGTATGTTTACTGCACACGTTTCTCGAATCTTTTCTTGCATCCTCTCTTTCAGTCGAAATCACTTTTTCTGTAATCTGGTTGCCTTCTACTGATTAGAATCTTCTGCACGAGACACTGGCTGGTAACAGATTTTCTAAATCTTTGTTTGGAAAAGCTCTTTACTTTGGTCTCCCTGAAAGTCTCCCAGATAGAATTCTGGACTGTTGGCTGTGTCCTTTGGCTTCTGTCATTGCTATTCAAAGAGCCATTCAGCACCTCTAGGAAGGAAAGTCTTACTTTGTGTGACCGACTTTAAGACCTCTCTTGGGCTTGACGTTCTCCCGCGTCTCTGCCGCGTGTCCAGTGTGACTGTTGCGTCTTGTGCGATTTGCCGGGCTCTGCTTCCTTCCGTTTCTCTCTTGGCAAAGCAGCGCCCCAGGCGTGGAGGGCCGGCCGCCCGAAGTTTGAGCCCCGCGCTGCTGCTTTCTAAGAGGAGGCCTGGTTTCCGCCTGGTACTCGGCGCCTGTGTCTCAGCGGCCCTGACTCTGAGAGGGGGACACTGGTGACCTGCCCCAGGCATCGTTGTGCAGCTCAGGTGCTTCCGAGCTCTTTCCTCCCCCTTGTTCTTGGGCCACATCCGGTGGTCCTCCATGTGTCCTCCTGGTTCTGTGCTCAGTGATCACGCCTGGTGGGCCTCGGGGTGCCACATGTGGTGCCCAGTGGTCAAACCTGGGTGGTCCTGTGCAGGACAAGCACCCTCCCTGCTGTACTGTTGTTTTGGCCTCCCAGGCAGTGTATTGCACACCTGGTGTGACTCCTGGCTCTGTACTCAGGTATCACTCCTGGACGTGCTCAGGAGACCAAATGGGAAGCTGGGGATTGAATCCTCGTATTGTCGCTATGGCCCCCCTATCTTAATCCTGCAAACGCTTAACCTTTGTTCAAGCAGATTTTTTGTATTTTTTTGCCCTAGTGTGTGTTTGCTGATGACTTTTAAAGACTTAAAAGATCGAATGTCGCATTGTAGCTTTTGACTGATGCAGTATGTCTAGGCGAATAGTTTGTTGTGGGTAATTAGTTTGCCATTACTAAAATATTGAATACATCTTATAGTGTATTCATCAGTATATATGCTCTTGCTGCCTCCGTGTTTTTTTTTTTCTTTCTCTCCTTTCCCTCCCCGCCCCTCATGAGGGATCACTCCTGACCCTGCTTGGGGGACTGTGTGCAGTACCTGGGATCAAACCCCTCCTCTCTCCTCTCCCTTTCCCTCTCCTTTTCTAATACTGGGTCACACCCTGCGGTGCTCCGGGCTGGCTTCTGGCTCTGTGCTTAGGGTTCCATCACTCGTGGCAGTGCTCGGGGGACCGTGCGTGGTGCCTGGAATCAAACCCGGGTCCGCTGTGTGCAAGAGTGCTGCCGCCCTGCCGTCCCCTCTCCATCCCTCCTGTCACGTGCAAGTGGTCGCCGCCACTGAAAGCAGAGATAGATATGCCCTGTGGAAAAACTCAGCGTGCTGTGGCTGCAGAGAAAGGTTGAAAAGAACGAGCTCCGTGGGGCTGGAGAGAGCGTCCGGTGGGAGGCCGCACAGCACTTGCACTGGCCCGCACACGGCCGACCAGGTCTGATCTCCAGCCGCCCGTAGGCCCACTGAGCACCGCCAGGAGAGAGTCCTGAATGCAGAGCCTGGAGTAACTCCTGAGCATTGCTGGATACGGCGCAAAGATAGAGAAAGAGAAGAGCTTTTGGCGTTGGGATGGGTTTATATTCAGCATAGCTTCTTTCCCTCCTTTTCTTTTTTCCTTTTTTGGCTCGGTCCCCAGCATGGCTTTTTCGATCTTCTGCATGCACCTGCACTTTGTCAGGACCTGATACTTGTAAAGAAAAATTTGAGATAGCTCATAGAATCGTTATTCTTTGTTTTTGTTTTTGTTTTTGTTTTTGGGTCACACCCAGCGATGCACAGGGGTTCCTCCTGGCTCTGCACTCAGGAATTACCCCTGGCGGTGTTTGGGGGACCTTGTGGGTTGCTGGGGATCGAACCCAGGTCGGCCGCGTGCGAGGCAAACGCCCTCCCCGCTGTGCTATTGCTGCAGCCCCTCACCGAGTTATTCTTGTGTGGATACATTTGCTCCACTCGGGCCGAGAAAGTGAATCCTGTTTTGGAGGGGTGGTCTGTGATGGGTCTCTTGTCCCTCAGTTTCGGGTTGGTTCCCAGCTTTAATTCCCTCGCACTGGGAGTGGGTTTAGGGAAAAGCGATGGACGAGGTGGAATGGGACGGGAATGGGTGTAGAGAAAAGCCCCTTTGTGACTGTCCCCACCCAGAGGCACTTGGGTCAGACCTGCAGACGGCCCAGGGTCGGGGTCTGCGGGCGAGGCGGGTTCTGAGGGTCGCCGGCCTCGCCCCGACCTCCTTTCCTCCTGAGATGTCTGTGCTTCGTGACGGCATCAGGTAGCTGGTCTCAGCCTCAGTGCACTTCTCCCCCGTCCCAGTTGAGTGCAGAAGCACCCCGGCTGGCCGAGTACCAAGCGTACATCGACTTCGAGATGAAAACCGGCGACCCTGCTCGCGTCCAGCTGATCTTCGAGCGCGCGCTGGTGGAGAACTGCCTGGTGCCCGACCTATGGATCCGCTACAGTCAGTACCTAGTAAGACGCCGCGCCGCTCTGCCCCTGCTCTCCGGGTCGGGCTCCCCCTCGCCGCTCTCGCCTCCTTCCATCTCCCGCTCCTCTGCCGCTTCTCCCGACGCTTGGGTTGCTGTTACTTTTGGAGGGGCGTGACTTTCTCTGTGATCTTTTGTTATCGATCGTACATCGGTTCACAGCGGTTCCAGCGTTTGTCTGCTGCAGGGGTGTTGTGTCACCCACGGTGCCCTGCGCTTTTGAGTCATTTTGCTGGGTTTGTTGTTGTGGTTGCTGTGGGGACCACATCAGGCGATGAGGGGGGCGAGGGCCACTGCTGGTGGCGCCCGGGGGCCCCAGGTCTGACCTTGTCTCCACGGAGCCACGTCCTGTCTCCTTGAGTTTTAAGAAGTTAATCTGTTACCAGTTTGACTCCTGGGACCATCGCAGGGGTTTTCCCTTGAGCCTTACATTTCGGGGAACTGGGGCTCTGCGGATGGAGGGGGGTGAGGGGCGCACTCCCGGCCTGCGTGGCGGCGTAGACAGTGTCCGCAGCTCCGGGTCTTCTGCTGGGTGCTCCCTCCCGTGCGCCTCTGTGCTGATTGGAAGAAACCAAGCAGCCACTCCCATTTCACGGGTGGCCGTTCCAGCCCGTGTGTGCGTGTAACAGACCCAGGGGGGCTCTGGGCGGGGTCCGACTCGCTGGCGCCTTGGCCCGAGGTTCGGCTCTCTCGGCCCCCCCCCCCCCCCCCCCAGTCCTCCCCACGCAGGGTTTCTCTGTGGAGGAAATCAGTTACGAGACAGGGTTTGTGTCTGTCTGGATTTTCGTGTCGGCGCCTCCCCAGCAGTGCAGGGGCCGTCAGGGCCGCTCCAAGGGGCTGAGATTTGCCAGGAAATACCCCAGTGGCGTCGCCCGGCGGGACCGGGGCTGGCTGGTGCCTGGGGAGGGGTGGCCTCAGTTCCACCTCCTGAGCCTCGACTCCTCCTCCCAGGATCGGCAGCTGAAAGTCAAGGAGCTGGTTCTGTCCGCGCACAGCCGAGCCGTGAGAAACTGCCCGTGGACGGTCGCCCTGTGGAGCCGCTACCTCCTGGCCATGGAGAGGCACGAAGTCGATCACCGGGTGATTTCTGGTGCGGATGGTTTTGCGGACGTGCTGTGTCTCTGGGTTCAAGTTAGAGCTGTAACAGACGCAGGCGGGACAGTGAGGGGCTGAGGCCCTACCCGCAAGCCGTCATCCTCCCTTGGGTTCTCTGTCACCATGTCTAGTCACTGAGCGCTTCCAGGAGTGACCCCTGAGCACAGAGCCAGGGGACGCCAACCACCCTCACCCCCCAACGCAACAGTAACAAAATTGTTACAGGGTGCTTTGAAATATTGAGAACTGATGACTAAGAAAGAATTTCTCTGTGGGAGATGGGTGGCTTGGACGTTTGATTTTTGGGGGGCCGCACTGGCAGTGCTCAGGGATCACTCCTGGTGGTACTCAGGGGACTCTCTGGGGTGCCCGGGATAAAACCAGCCGTGTGCAGGGTGAGCTCCTTGCCTGTTCTCCGATCTCTCTGGCCCTCTGGGAGGTGCTTTTGGCTTGCTAGAGCTTTTGTGATTGTTCGGGGGCCGCACCTGGCCGTGCTCGGGCTTTGCTCCTGGTGTTGTGCGAAGCTGAGCAGTGCGGGGGGCCTAGCTGCTGCCAGCCATGCCAGGGCGAGCACCGGAACCCTCCGTCCCTCGGGGCGCCTCTCGGCACCTTGCGTGCATTGCGATTTCCCGAGGAGGAGAAATGTTTTTCTCCGAACTTAATTGACCTGCGACTTTTATTGTCGGGCTTTTAAAAATCATAAGACGGCTTGTCGCCAGAGGCCTTTTCAGTGACAGTCCAGTAATCTACGCTAGCTTCCTCAGCGGCGAATCTCGGCTTTTTCTTCAACTCCAGGGACCTTTGAGAAAGCTCTGAGCGCTGGCTTCATCCAGGCCACAGACTACGTGGAGATCTGGCAGACCTACCTGGACTATCTGAGGAGAAGGGTGGACTTCAAACAAGGTGTGCCCCTCCGAGTGGGAGTTTCTCAGTGGCTCTTTGGGTGAGGTGCCCGGTTGCCCGGCTGCGTCCCGGTGGGGCCAGCGATGGAGACCCGCCCTTCGGCTAGAACTGTCCCTCAGAGCGTGCAGCTGTTTGAGTCTCGAGTTGGCCAGGCCCTTCAGGAAGCCAGTGGGAGCTTCCCGTTCTCTTCGGCGCCAGTCTCCTTCGTGCGTGTGTGTGTGTGTGTGTGTGTGTGTGTGTTTTTCTTTGGGTGACTGTTGTGTTTACGGTTTGAATCTTTGCAGGGCCACCCCCAACCCCTCAGACTCAGATACCAGCAGTGAACCCTCCCGATCACTCGCTGCCGGGTTCGCCTCTTTGAGCGAACCCTGCCCCTGCTGTCTGTGCTGCTCCTTCACCGTGTGCTGAGGGCAGGGGAGGCCGTTTGAGTTCTGTGCCTGCAGACAGAGAGCGTTCCCAGGAGTCTGGGTGCGGGATTCAAATCGAACGGGGTCGTGACCCATCCCCTCCTCGCGCTTTCTGACAGACTCGAGCAAAGAGCTGGAAGAGTTGAGGTCTGCGTTCGCCCGCGCCCTGGACTACCTGAAGCAGGAGGTGGAGGAGCGTGAGTGCAGCCCCGTCCCCCGCGCGGCTCCGTCCCGGCGGGTCTGGCACCTCTGACTTGGGTCGTTCTCGTTCTTCAAGGGTTCAACGAGAGTGGGGATCCCAGCTGTGTGATCATGCAGAACTGGGCTCGGATTGAGGTAAATGTCCTGGTTGTTTTTCCGTTGGGGATTGAAACGCGGAGTCACGTGCAGAGGCTCGTGCTCCGCCGCTAGCCACTGTCCGCGGCCGGTAAATGGTTTTGAGAGGCACGTGATAGTCGGGCTCCTTCGGGATTCTTCTCAGTTAACCTAGCCGGATGTCCTTGTTCTCTGTTTGTTTTGGGGCCACACCCAGCCGTGCCCAGGGCTAACTCCTGACCCTGCTCTCGGGCTCGCTCTTGGCAGGGCTGGGGACACCTTACAGGGGTGCCGGGGATCGAACCCGGGTTGGCTGTGCCCAGAGCAGGCCCCTTACCTGCCGAACCGCCTCTTCAGCCCTCGAATGCCCGTTTCCACCCGAGCGGAGTGCCAGGCCCCTGGGCAGGGTGTCGGAATGCCAGGGCTTCTCCTTTTCTCCTCCCCGGGCCGGTGCTGCCAGCCTGGTGCTTTGGCCGGTGCTGAGGGCATGTGGTCTCTGTGCCAGTTGGATATCCGGATAGGTAGAGGGTGTGAGCAGCTGACTGTTGTTGGGACCCGGAGTCCCAAGGTGAGGAAAGCAGGAAACTCCCTGGTCGACCCATAGAAGAATTCTTGTCGTGTTTGTTCGGGGCGGGGGGGGGGGGGGGGGTCCATTTGAAGAGACATTCCGCTGGTACTTTCCGGATGGGATGTTTGCTCTTGACCCTTTCAAGGAGGACATGGCCGAGGCTTGGGTCAGACCACCTCCTGAGTCCCGTTGTCATTGACGGGGCTGGCGTTTGCTCCCGGACTGTCTCTGGTTCAGTCCCGGTGGTTGGCTTAATAAAACTCAGAAGCCAGCGGCTAGCCCAGATGCAGGGCTGCATGGGCCCCCACTTTGTCTTCTCCAGCAATCCATGCCCCTGCGGGGGCGGGCAGAGGGCTGGGGGCCGCGGCGGGCTTGGCGCGGCTCATCCCGGGGCTCTGAAGGCCCGTCTGTTTGCAGTGTGTCGGGGTCGGGTGCTGAGGCCGGAAGGTCACGCCCGTCCCTGACCGTAGGCTCGGCTGTGCAACAACATGCAGAAGGCTCGGGAACTCTGGGACAGCATCATGACCAGAGGAAACGCCAAGTTCGCCAACATGTGGCTCGAGTACTACAACCTGGAAAGGTAACGCCCGGGGGGGGGGGGGGGGCATCACCACGCCAGTGCCCTTGTCCCCCGCTCCCTGTTCCTTCCTCACGCTGGGCTGCCAGGGCCGGTCGGAGCCTGGGCCCTCCTGCCCTGCTGCCTGTCCTTCCGGTACTCTGGCTCGTGGCCGTGTTTGGGCTGCGCGCTGTCATCTGGGGGCTCTCTTTCCCGACCCCTTTGTATGTAAGAGTATGGAATACGAAAGAGCATGATGGCTTGGGCGTGGGCTTTGGGGCGTCTTTGACCCTGGGTTTTTTTAAAAAAGAGAAAGGCAGTCCTAGTGTCCATGTTTTTCTTTCTTTCTTTCTTTTTCATTTGCTTTTTTGGGTCACACTCGGCGATGCACAGGGGTTCCTCCTGGCTCATGCACTCAGGAGTCACTCCTGGCGGTGCTGGGCGACCGTGTGGGATGCTGGGAATCAAACCCGGATCAGCCGCATGCAAGGCAAACGCCCTCCCCGCTGTGCTATCACTCCGGCCCCTCGTGTCCATGTTCCAAGCACAGCTGTTCTTGCGAGTGACAGTGAGTCATGTTCCAGAGAAACGGTGTTCAGGGGAAGAGTCCCTAGTTCATCCTGCAGCTGGGTCAGTCAGGTGGCAGCCATGCGTTCGTGCGTGTGTGTGCGCGTGACGGTGCAGAGGTGCTTGAGGTGGGAGCCCGTGGACCCAGGAGAAATGAAAGGCCACACCCTTGGGTGAGAGCCCGCTCCAGTCTTCGCTGGCCGCACTGGGGGAAACTCCAGCACGTCCCTGCTGTTGGGAATCGTAACTGAGCTATTAGGAAAGGAGTTTTGCTCCCCTGAAAGGGTCCCGGAGACTCAGCGGCACGCAGCCCGTTTCTTGGCAGGGGTAGGTGACCTGGTGCTGCTCTGGGTTTGCCCCTGGCGATGCTCAGGTCCATCTGTGTTGCCAGAACTAAACGGGGGTTGGCGGCACCCAAGCAAAGTGCCTTAGCACTTGTGCGTTCTCCCTGGCCCATGGATTGTTTCGGGGGGTGGGGGAGGGACCCAGATTTGGGTCACACCCAGTGGTACTCGGGACCCTGCCGAGGAATCATTCTCTGTGGTGCTCAGAGGAACCACACGTGGGACCCAGGGCCAGCTGCCTGTCGGGCCTCAACTCCTGTCCTCTCCCGCCAAGCCTTAACTTAAAAAGTTGCCGCCACAGAGCTTCCTGACATCCTAATACGCGTGTATATACATACACACATATGTACATACATATAGACACGTGTACGCGCGTGTGTGTGTGTATTTATATATATGCTGTCTTTGTGTATCCGTAAGTGTTCTCAGCTGTGAGAACGTACTGTTTCATGGTGGTGATTCACAGATTAGTGAATTCTTATAACTGTCGAGGTCAGCAGTGCGTCTTTCTCTGGCAGTGCGGTAAAAAAGTCTCCAGGTCTGACCATTGGCTGTCCCTGGTTCGGTGACTCTCCCCTTGGGTAGGGAGACTTTGGGGACTTCGAAGGTGACACGGAGAGCTTGGCTCCCCTCCTGCACTGTCAGTGTGAGGCGCAGAGCACTGCAGTCCCCCCGGCCTCTGCTCATGAGGGTCTGCGTGCGTGCCTGTCCCTCGCGTCCCCTCATGTGCTGGAGGCAGCAACTGTCCTCTTCTGCCCCAGGGCCCACGGCGACACGCAGCACTGCAGGAAGGCCCTGCACCGGGCCGTGCAGTGCACCAGCGACTACCCGGAGCACGTCTGCGAGGTGCTGCTCAGCCTGGAGCGCACAGAAGGTGAGTGCCCGCCCTGTCCTGGCGCCCGTGTTCCGAGACGGGCGCTCTGACTCCCTGCGGGAAGCGCGCCACGTGGCTCTGGGGCGCTCTCAGCGTTTTTCGTGGCGGGGCCCGTCAGCAGTGTCCTGTCAGGAGCCCGCGGCTCCCCTGTGACCTGACGCAACTGAGAGTGTCCTCGCGTTGTTAGCGTTTCTGGAGTCAGCCTCGCTCCAGCTCGGACCCCACGCCCTGGCACAGGCCACAGAGGGCAGACAGCTCGCGTGCTGTGCTCCTGCCGCCTGTGGCCCCTGTGGAATGTCACTTGACGCACTCTGGTGGACGACAGGGCATTGACCCCTGGGTGTTTGGTGGTACGGACATTTCGGGGCACCTCTTTGGAACATTTCGGTTCACACCTGATGGTGCCCCTTGGTCACTCCTGGCAGGCTGCAGGGGCCCTTTTGGGCTGCTGGGGATCGAGCCTGGGCAGCTGCATGCAATTGTCCTACTGACTGTATTACCTCTCTGGCCTGAAAAAACACCCCGTGATCATTTTGTGGGACTTCTTTTAAAGTCCTTCAGTCTGAATAATAAACGTCTTACATTAAGACTTTTAAAAATACTTGCCCCGAAGAAAACATATGAATATGATGTATATATTCTGCCTTTCTGATCTTTTCCTGAAAGAGGAAGGGATGCTTTCAATACGCCTGAATGAACTTTGAGTTCTGAAATTTCGAGCATACACACATAAATCCCAAAAAAGGGGAGTTTATGCCCCAATTCTCAGTGACTGATGGGAGAATCTCTCCTGACAGTGGTAAAAATTAGTGTGTTATGTTATATCTTTCAAAGAACCTGGAAAATGAAAGTTTTGTTTCTGTTTCTATTTGTTTGAAGGAACTTTAGAAGATTGGGATGTAGCTGTCCAGAAAACAGAAACTCGGTTAGCTCGTGTGAACGAGCAGAGACTGAAGGTAAGGACGCGTTTCTTGAAGGATTTTGGAACTGGCTGAGGATGTACCGGGAGAGTGCTCTTCCTCGAAGTATGAGGGCCTGGGTCCACACACACACACGCACACACACACACACACACACACACACACACACACAAAGAAAGTCCTTTGAATTGCTGGTTATTTTGGCAGTGCATTAGGAATATTTCTTGTCAAAGCGTTTGAGATCATCTTAAGTGCCTTTAATCGAAGTTAACGATGAAATATTCACATCAGTATTTAATCCTGCCTCGTGTAAGTTTTAGATTGACTTAAAACTTCAGCTCGAAAGATAAATACGCTTTGGGAGGAACTGGGACTCCAGAATCGATCCAGTAGACGAGAATCTAAAGGAGCCTCGTCCTGAGGGTTGAAACGTGGACACCCTCCGACTCATGCGGGGCGTAGACTTACAGATTAAAACAATTTTTTTTTCCTTTAAGAGGAACAAAGCACTGAAATGGCTTGAGCCCTTTCTGTAAAGGCTCCTGTAGCATTGTAGTTGCTTTTCGGTGGTTGTGCTGGTTGTCAGACCCAGAGCCTCACCTAGGCAGTGGCTGCAGCACTGGGCTCTGGCCGGGCCCAGACTGTGCTCTCGGTCTCGGTTCGTCCTTGGCTCCCCGGGAAGCCTGAGCAAACCCGCAGGGTGGAACCGGGCACGGGCGTCTCCTCTCGCTCACACCCGTTGCGTCTCGCTGGGTCGCGTGTTTCCCTCCCTGACTCCTCCGCTGCTCTCGCCCCATCACGAGGCGTCCATTTCTGGACTCCTGCCCCGGGTGACCGTCACTGTCCCCCTGCAATGTTCCAGGCTGCCGAGAAGGAAGCGGCCCTGGCCCAGCAAGAAGAAGAAAAGGCGGAGCAGAGGAAGCGGACTCGGGCCGAGAAGAAATTGTTGAAGAAGAAGAAAAAGACCAGAGGTGGAGACAAACGGAAAGCGGAGGAGGACGACGAGAGAGAGTGGGGCGATGATGAAGAAGGTAGCGCTGTCCAGGGTGTTCGCAGACAGCGGGCGGGAAAGTCCAGAGTCCCTCCCTCCGGCCCGGGAGAGAGGCCAGCGCGGGGCAGCCCCAGGCCTGGCTTCAGCCCAGAGCCTGGCGGACTGAGGACCGCCTGGGGGTCCCCGAGGCTCCCCAGGGGCAGCGCCGCCTCCCCGCCTCTCCGCCTGGCACCAGCGATCTTGTCCCCAGTGTTTCTGTGCCCCCTGGACTTCGGGGCTGGTCGAGGGGCGCGGGTGTATTTCAGTGGTCAGTCGCAGAGAGTTTCAAGGCTTCTGGAACTCGCTTTGCTAGCATCCAGTTGTCCACTAGAGGGAAGCGGTCACGGGGCCATCGCTCAGGAGACTTCCCTGAACTTGACCCCTTTCCGGGACCCTCAGAAATGACGGCAGGTGGCCCGCCGCCGTTCAGGACTCCGTTAGGGTCGACGTGGCACGTGACAGCGGTGGATGGACGGGTGTGGATGGATCCCAGAGACCAGACTGGTTCCCGGGCAAGGGCTGTGGGTCTCGCCCGCGAGTCGAGGAGAGCGAGGGCACGTTGGCGATGGCAGGTTGTGGGGGGGAACAGTGTGAGCACGGCCAGCTCAGGGACACGGGAAGGGATGGTTCGGCTTCGTCCGACAGCCGCGGGGAGAGGCGGCCCCGCCAGGTGCTGGCTTTCAGCAGTGACCAGTCGGAGCAGAGGGCTGTGCTCTCTCTCGAGGGACAGCTGGGTGTCGGGGACTTGCTTAGGGATCACGGGCTCTTCGTGGTGCTCTCCCGAGTGTCCTCGATCCTGCGCTGCCCAGCCCCAACCTGCCTGGGCTTTGGGGACAAGCCCTGGAGCTGCTGCCTGTGGCTGGAGACGCCGTTGCTGTGGTGGGCGGGAGGCTCCTTTCCCGGAGGCGTCCCTCACCTGTCCCTCTCCGATGACCCGCAGAGCAGCCGAGCAAGCGCAGGAGGGTCGAGAACAGCATCTCCCCCGCTGCCGAGGCGGCCCAGGACCTCGAGGCGGAGACGGGGCTCTTCGGGCGGAGTGGCCCTGCGGACGCCGACACCCCCCCGAAGCAGAAGAGGGACTTGCCCAAGGTGGCCCACGACAGCAGCAAGGACAGCATCACCGTCTTCGTCAGCAACCTGCCCTACAGCATGGGGGAGCCGGAGGCCAAGCTCCGGCCGCTCTTCGAGGCCTGCGGGGAGGTGGCGGAGATCCGCCCCATCTTCAGCAACCGGGGCGACTTCCGGGGCTACTGCTACGTGGAGTTCCGGGAGGAGCGGGCGGCCCTGCAGGCGCTCGGCTTGGACCGGAAGCACGTCGAAGGGAGGCCGATGTTCGTCTCCCCCTGTGTGGACAAGAGCAAGAACCCGAACTTCAAGGTAGGCTTGCTGCAGAGAGCACGCCGTTCGCGTGGGGCTGTCGTAGAGCAGAGGCCCCCAGACATGCTCGGCCTGCCTCTCCCTGTCCCTGTGTAGAAAAGGATTCCTCCGTGCCTCTTAGGCATCCCCCTTCTTTAAGGGGACAAATGCAAAAGCGTGTGCCCCCCCATACACACACACACACACACACACACATTTACACACTCAACACACACACCAGTTTTACCTGATGCAGCATCCAGCCAGCACCGGGGATTCCCCACTCCTTGGGAAACGGCGTGGCTGCAGGGGTCCTAACTGCCCCCTCCAGCAGTGGCCACTGAGCGATCTGCCTGGGCTCGGGGCTTCTTAAGCGATCCACTTAGGGGCCAGAAAAATAGGACAGCGGGTAAACTGCTTGCCTCGCCTGTGGCCGACCCGGGTTACGTCCCCCGCGCCTTCCAGGAGGGAGTCCCTGAGCCCGGAGCCAGGACTGAACCCCCGAGTGCCACTGGGTGCGGACCCAAAACGAAAGCCTGAGAAGGAGCGCCCTAGTGGGTGGCCCAGACCCGAGCAGCTCCCGAGCTCACCGGGGTGTGAGCACTTGAGATTCACACCGGTTGCCTGATGGTCCGCCCCCGAGCTGAGAGGAGCCGCTTCCACGGCCATCGCGTCACCAGGGAGGCGCGAGGGCCCTTGGGCGGGGCTGTGCCGGGCTCCCGGCCGGTCCTCCCTCCCTCCCTCTCCTTGCCTGCAGGTGTTCAGGTACAGCACTGCGCTGGAGAAGCACAAGCTCTTCGTCTCGGGCCTGCCTTTCTCCTGCACGAAAGAGGAGCTCGAGGAGATCTGTAAGGAGCACGGCACTGTGAAGGACATCCGGCTGGTCACCAACCGGGCGGGCAAGCCCAAGGTCAGTGTCTGGGCACGTGCGGACGCCCGCGGCCCGGCCCAGTCCGGAGAGCGGTGGATTCTGGAGTAGGAACCGCTCCGGCCTGACGACGGGTTCGCGGGAGGAGAGCGGCTTGGTCCTCTGGCCCTGGACTCAGGAGTCTGTCTGCTGCGGCTTGTGGAAAGACGTCCGGGTCTGGGCAGTCAGGATGGCTCCAAGGGCTGGAGCACACGTGGCCCCTGCAAGGCCCGCGGTGCGGTCCCAGGGCCCGCCGTGGCCCCCCTGTCAGAGTGCAGCAGAGGAGGACCCCGGTGTGGATGCTCGGCTCGGGGCTCGTGTGGGTGACGTGACCTCCCTCCTGCTGACTTCCGTCTGTCCCCTCGTCTCCCGGGCCCGGCCTCAGCCCCCTGGCAGCCCCCTCCTGTGTCTTTTGGGAGTAGGACGTCTTGTCGTACGGCGTAAGCTGGAGGGGGGTTACCTGCCACCCACTTGTTGAGGCTAATTGGGTCTGAAGTCAGGGTCGGGGGCCACTGGGGCGGCTCGCCACGCCTGCTGCGTCTGTGGAGTGTCTTGTCCCTTTTTTTCCCCGGCTGGAGCAAGAGTAATTAAGATGGACTGCACTGAGGCAGGTCATCTGAAGTTGCCATCTGATGTCGAGAAATTGTCGGGGAACCTGAGGGGCGGGAAGCACTTGAGACAGGACCTTGGCCCCGGGAAGGGAGCTGGTGCGGGGACCCCCCAGCCGGGTCTCACTTCCGGCCCCGAGGGAGGAACGTGTCCGGATCCCGTGGCCCCTGACCCAGCTCTGGCTTTGCCTCCCCCAGGGCCTGGCCTACGTGGAGTATGAAAGCGAATCCCAGGCGTCGCAGGCGGTCTTGAAGATGGACGGCATGACGGTCAAAGGGAGTGTCATCAAGGTGGCCATCAGCAACCCCCCGCAGAGGAAGGTTCCGGAGAAGCCGGAGGCCAGGAAAGCCCCTGCTGGCCCCATGGTGCCACGGCAGGTCTACGGAGCGTAAGTGTCGCTGTGCTCTCCTGCGTGGCCCTGCTCAGGGGACGCCGGGCAGGCGTCTGGGCTCACGTCCACGCAGGGAGGGCCCGAGCCAGGCCTGCGGCCGACACAAGTGTTTGATGTAGTACGTTGGTCTTTGTCTTCTGGCAGCAATCATGTCCGAGTTCCCTCGGCTGCTTGAAGCCGTGGGCGTAGATTTAAAATCTTGCCAGGTCAGCCCCTGCCACTGTTGCCAGGGGAAAGTGAGGCTTGAGCGCAGGGAGGTGGGCGCACAGCTGCCCAGTGCGGGCCAGGTCCGAGGGATTCCGGCCGTCCCTCCCTGGACTGGCCCCCAGCTTGGTCCTGGCCTGAACTGAGGGACGAGATTCTTCACCAAGACCCCAGGCGATAGGAGTCGTCTTCGCGGTCTTGCTTTCCAGCCCGCATCTTTTGACTGGGGGGCTCAAGCTTCTCTGCGTAGCCGAATCGGGGTCCGCAAGCTGCCACTCCGCGGGGTTCACTCTGGTTTCCCCTTCCAGGCGGGGGAAGGGCCGGACCCAGCTCGCTCTGCTGCCTCGCGCTCTGCAACGGCCCAACGCCACAGGCCCTCAGGCCGAGAACGGCCCCGCGCCTCAGCCCCCGGGCCCTGCCTCGGGACCTCCGGAAGCCCCCAAGATGTCCAACGCCGACTTCGCCAAGTTGCTTCTGAGGAAGTGAATGGGACCTTGAGGAGAGGGAGATGCCTTACTCAGTGCTGGCCAGGAAGCCCCGCCAGCACCCGCTGGGCCCTCCCCCACGGGCCCCGCTGGCTTGTGCCGAGGGGAAGGGGCGGCCAGGATGCCAGCGACTCAGGCTCCCTCATATTGAGGGCGACCGGAGCACCATCGCTGCGGCTGGGCACGGGGCTGCTTTCCCGAGCTACTTCTGCGTCTTAAAGAGCGAAAGAGAAACAGAAGTGAGACTTTTGAGACCCACCGTCCAAATGTTTCTGGCCAGCTGTGGCCCCTTTTTCTAAGACACCAGTGCACAGCAGCGGTACCCCTCACCCTTTCAGTTCTGAAAAGAGAAAAGGGCAGATGCCAGGAATTCACCAGGCCTGTTTGGGTAGAGGGACGGGGCTCGGGGAGGTCCCGCAACACCACCGGATGGATTTTTGTTCAGGGGGGTTGTGCATTTTTATATGCTGTGTTTGTAAATGAGACACCCAGCCACCGTTTCATGTTTCCTAAAAGCAGAATACTTGTGACGTTTGTATAGGAATTCTTTGACCGTTTTCTTTGCCTTGTGGCTAGTGAGCCGTGTCCTTTGTCAGAATCCTTGTCTCGGCCCTTTGGTTTTGTTTGAACACCATGTCGAGTGCAAACTTAAATTCTCCCCACTTAGCTTTGTTCATTAAACTGAAGTTCTTGTTAACGCCTCTCGCCGAGGTGCTCAGCTGTACAGATACGGATGTCTTGGGAAATGGCTGTACCTTGCTGTATCTCACGGATGTGTAAATAGAACTTTTTGTAAGTCAGATCTCGTCGTCACTGTGGATCACTCCGGCTGTGATGCAGCCTCAGTTTTCAGCTTTATTTTACAGCAGGCTGACGCTCGCTGTTCAGCTGGTCCGGGGTGGAGCCTGGGGCCTCGCCCGGGCCTGGCAGGCGTTCTCCCGCGGGCCTTCAGCCCTGGGCCAGCTTTCCAGCCCGTGTCTGTAGTGCATCCCTTAAGGCAGGTTCTGCTGGGGAGAATGACGTGGGGTGGGTGTGTCGGGGAGTTCTTTCTCGTGGGAGGGAAGTTCGTTCATGTTGCTGTTTATATTCTTGTGCTTCAGACTTCTGTAGTTGCAAAACTTGTCCTGGCCAGTTCGTAACAGGCTAGACCGAAGACTCAAAGCCCATGTTAGCCCGCGTGCTTATCCCTCGCCTGGCCTTTGTCCCCCCCTTCCTTGTCCCAGGGCTGCCCCAGGCACACACACGCCCTCAGGAAATTAGGATCAAGGCGTGTTCTCGTTACCCCAGACACCCACAGTACTCCCGCGGGTCCTGAGTGGCTGTTCCCGTTGCCCGTTCCTCGTGTTGCCTGTGACATTTCTCCTCTCAGTTATTTCAGTCCGTTGATAAGCCTCAGTCCTGACCTGCATGGCGTCCTCTGCCTCCTCTTTCTCCTTTTTGCACGGAAGTTTTTGTGGAGGGTCCCGTCTCCTCTCAAGTCAGACAGTCCCTGCTCTGGGAAGCAGTCAGTAGGGCCCGTGCGGAAGCGGGTTCTGTCGCTGGCTGGCTGCTCGCTGCTCTGTGCAGGTGGGTTGAGGCTCGGGGGACCAGCGCTGCAGAGCCACGTCCTTCCAGGCCCCCAGCCTGCCTTTCCTCTGCTCTTTGCAGTCTTCTGGCTGCCGTCGGCCAACTCTGAATTCAGTTCCTCTGGAGCGTTCACACGGGTTCCTGAGAAACGAACCTAGGCTCTGGTGTTGTGTTGGGATGTCAGCTGCTGTTGAAGGGGGTCTTCAGGAACTTGGCAGGCAGGGGGGTGCGGGGGGTAGGAATACAGTCTCACCAGAGACACCGGAATTGCTGTCAGCGGGAATGTAAAGTCCATTGCGCTGACTGGAATCACTGAGGCCGGTAGTTAGGCTTCTCCGGCTAGCTGGCAGCCTCAGGAACTGAGCTCTGGGGAGTGGTCTGCCAGAGCGAGACAAGGCTGAGGGCCTCACCCCCTCCCCCTTCGAAGAAACGGGGACACTGCAGTAAGGCAGCCTCAGGCGTTTATGTAATAAAATACTTTATTAGTCATCTGTTAAGATAATATCCTTCACGTACAGCTAAAGTGCAAATGGCCACAGTACAAAACCAGCTCTGTCAGCCTCGTGGAGCGCTGACGAGACTGAAGAAACACCTTATGGCAGCAGCAAGGACGAAGTTTTTGATAAAGGTTCGGGCCACTTCATCTCCTCGCTTACACTTCCCTCTCCTGTTTTGGGACCACACCTGCTGTGCTGGCTGCCCTTGGGGGCCAGATACGGTGCAGGAGATGGAACAGGGGTTGGCCACACGCGAGGCAGGCAAGGCCAGTGCCTTATCCCTTGTACTCTCTCTGGCCCCTCTCTTGCTTGTTTTTTGTTTTTGTTTTTTGCTTTTTGGGTCACACCTGGCGATGCACAGGGGTTCCTCCTGGCTCTGCACTCAGGAGTTACTCCTGGCGGTGCTCAGGGGACCATATGGGATGCTGGGATGCTGGGAATCGAACCCAGGTCGGCCGCGTGCCAGGCAAACGCCCTCCCCGCTGTGCTCTCGCTCCAGCCCCTCTTGCTTGTTTTAAGCTTTCAGAAACCTGAGTGTGCTTGCTGTGTGATGAAGTGTATCAGCACAGCCACCTCCGGACTTCCCATCCGAATCTGAATTCTCAGTTCTGAGACGACTCTCTGTACACTCCGTCAGACACTAACATAAGTGCAGGACTGTGTTTGACCCGGGCCACGTGGCCGGGATCAGGACCCAGCCACTGGGCCACTCTGACTAGCAGCAGTCACATTGGCAACGCCCTTCCCACGTGGGCTTACAAAAGACACTTCTGCTCTCAACCCCTGTGGTTGTGCGATGCAGAACGCTTTACCGGTTTGACAAGTCACTAGGACAGTAAGTCCACTCCAGTTCTGCAGGAACAGCACAGTGGCTAGGCGGGAGGCGAGAAAAGTTGTGTGTCCTGGCTTGGACAGTTTTTTTTTTTCCTTGGTTCAGTAGAAACTGGTACTGAATACCAATACCAGAAATGCTTAGTTCTTGACCGCTTTCTCATGGTTTTCTTTTTTTTGGGCCACACCCAGCAATGCTCAGGGGTTGCTCCTGGCTCTGCACTCAGGAATGACTCCTGGTGGTGCTCTGGGGACCATATGGGATGCTGGGAATCGAACCTGGGTTGGCTGCGTGCGAAGCAAATGCCCTCCTCGCTGTACTGTTGCTCTGGCTATCGCTCAGGTGTGTTCTTGAGCACCTACTTGGCCATGTTCGACTCCCACGGGCAGATGACCCCGCCCTGCCCACTCGCACGATACCTGCAGTGGACGTTGCTGTGGTTGATAAACCAGAACTTTTTTTACACTGAAATACTTGGTTTGCAGTATTGCAAGTGAAATATAAAACACTGATAAAACCAGCCTGATCGGGCCCATAGTAACAGCGGGGAGGGCACTTGTCTTGCACGCGGCTGACCAGGATTCAGTCCCCGACACCACACATGGTCGACCCTGAGCACCACCAGGAGTGATCCCGAATAGAGAGTTAGGAGTAAGACCTGAGGACCACCAGGTATGGCCTAAAAAAAAAAAAGGAAAAACAGGCTCACGTAGAGTGGACAAAAATTGGATCGGACAGTAAAAGCAGCCTCTGGCACTGGAGTGTCAAACTGACTATGGCTCAGAGATCCTTGAAAATAAGCAAGGTACTTAACTAGAAAGGCGGGTCAACCTTTAACTCACACCTCAGAGATGTGCTGTGCGGAAGAACTTAGCCACAACCGGGAGGTCTGTGGCGGGAAGCACCCCCCTCTGACACAGCTTCCACTCCTCAGACTGGGACGCAGTGACCTCCCGGAGGCCACCCGAGAGCCTGGCTCTGCCTGTCCCCGAGAATGATGGAGGAGGCACGCCTTCCCCAGGCCTGGCCCTCTTCCCCTGGTTCCCGTCGGAAACTCTCCCCCACCTTCGTGCAAATTCTGCTTCAGGAACCTTGTTCCCGCCACACTAGAAACAGGGATGGCCCCAAGGCCTGCTGGGCCCACAGGATGGGGACCACAGCACGGCCAGTGGCTGCTGCATGAGACTAGCACAAAAGGGAAATAAAGTAACTTGGCTAAATGGGGTTACCTTAGAGATAAAACAATAATTTAGTATTTTCAGCTCCCCCCCCAAAAAAAGTGGAGGTAAAGTTTAAGCCTCTTAGCCGTCTCCTTTTGCTTTGGGAGATGGTGAAGCTTCTAGAAATGCTACTTTTTTCTGTCCTGTTCCCCCCCACCTCCCCCTCGGCCCTCCCGTCACAGGCTAGGGCTTCACGGGCAGCGTCTCCTTGAAGCCAGAGTGGTTGGGGCTGGCCTCGGGCAGGGCCACCGAGTACTCGGTGGTGGCGAAGAGCAGAGTGTCCAGGGTGGTCTCGGTGCACTTGGCGATGAAGCGGATGAAGGGCCGCACGTCGCCGTCATTGGCGACCTCCAGGGCGTGGTAGTACTCGGCCCTCTGCTCTTTGCGGATGGTGATGGGCGGGTAGCCCGCCTGCATGAGGATGAGGTTCATCAGCAGACGCGACGTCCTCCCGTTGCCGTCGATGAACGGGTGGATGTAGACGAGTTTGTAGTGGGCCAGGGCGGCGAACTCCACCGGGTGCAGGTTCATGGCGTCCTCCGAGTTGAGCCACTGCACGAACTCGTCCATCTGCCTGGCCACCTCCTGCGGGTGCGGGGGCAGGTGGTGCCCCACCAGGACCTGGGTCCGCCGGAACCGGCCGGCTTCCACGGGGTCCACGTAGCCCAGCACCCGCCGGTGCATCTCCAGCAGGTCGTCGGTGGTCACCGAGCCGATGCGGGACACCAGCGTGGTGTTGACGTACTTCATGGCCGCGTGCATGCCGAGGACCTCGTTCTGCTCCTCCAGGCTCTTCCCGGGCACGGCGTAGCGCGTCTCCAGGATGTGCCGGATCTCCGCCAGGGTGAGGGTGTTGCCCTCGATGGCCACCGTGTGGTAGATGTGGTGGTAGTACGTCTCCTCCAGGACCCGGCGCAGCGCCGAGTTGCTCTTGGGGATGGACAGGACCTTCTTCACTTTGCCGTCGATGATGCCGAAGTAGCGCTGGTCGATCTCCTCCACCAGCGGCAGCGTCCGGTCCCGGCTCACCAGGGCTTTCTCGTGGTGGGGCGCGATGCTCAGAGCCCGGGTGTACAGGAAGTCCGCCTGGACGATGTCCTTGTCCTCCTCCGAGAAGAGGCCGAACTCGGTGAGCGCGTCCGCGAAGTCGGGGTCCATCTGGAGGGCGTGCAGGAAGAGCTTGTGGGCCTTCCCCCGCTTGCCGTGACGCTTCATCTCCAGCGCCTGGTTCAGGGCGGCTCTGGCCTCCAGCTTGGCGGCTATGAAAGACCCAACGCACATGGTCAGGGGCGCCGGCCTGGCGCGGTCCTCCCAGCGGAAAGTCCCGGCTCCGGTGGACACTGTGCTGTAAGGGGCCAGGTTGGTTCATGCCCCAACCGGCCACACCCACAGCCCTTCTCTGCCCTGCCTGGGTAGCCTTGCCGGGGCTTCCCGCTGCTGCCCTCCTTTCGTGGCTCCGCGGCACCAGCCGGTCGGCCCTCGCTCCTCTCGGGGTCCCCACTCCTCCAGGCCCTGCCTGGGAACAGCTCCCAGGGTGAGTGCTCGGCCTCTCCCAGTACGCCACCCCAGGAACTGAGCTGCAGAGCAGAGCCAACTCCCCGCCCCCTCGCCACCCCTCTTGGTGTTTCCTCCTGTGCCCTCCACTTCTCCCCGCGGAGGCCTTTCCTTAGTGTGCTCTGCCAGCAGAGGCCACTCCTCTTCCAGGACGCTTTCCTGGGGTGCTCCCACATGGCCCCCGCCCTCGACTCTGCCTCAGTCGCCTGTCAGAGCACAGGACTGGTTCCCAAGGCATGTTCGCGGGGGAGGACCGGCCAGTCTGTCTCACCTGGCGAGGCCTTGGCTTGCACCGAGTGCGGGGCTGCGTCCCGGGCGGTGATGCTGAGCTCCGTGGTCGGGCCGGGACACTTGGCGACTGCGTGCTGTGCTCTGTCCAGCTTGCTCCGGAGCAGGTAGAAGCCTTTGAGCAGGGCCAGGCACTGCTCCTCCATGGCCCCCAGCGGCAGGAGCAGGGCCACCAGGGACCCCAGCGCCATGCTGAGCAGCACCAGCCCCAGGGAGCGGCTGCACACGGAGGCCCACTTGGGCTCAGTCAGCGCCACTGCGGATGCCATGGGCAGGAGGGTCATCGGGACGCAGGGCCGAGCCGCTTGCACAGGTCCACGGGAGATCTGCAAGGAACCGAGAGGAGGGGAGCTCACCTGGCAGGTGCCAGCGCAGCTGGGGCACCGGACAGCAGAGGGGCGCCTGGACCAGGTCTCCGTGGGGAAGGACAGGCGCCCCTCCAGCTGGAGACACCCCAGAACTGCAAAAGGCCGACGTGGCCCCACATTCCGCGATGCTTTCCACAGGCCAGGCCCCCGCTGCACCCCCAGGAACGTCCTGCAACTATCCCGGGTCATTTCCAGCAGCAGCTGTCCTGACATCACCCCTCTGGCTGGGGGAGGAAGCAGAGGCTCCGAGGGGGGAAATTCAGAGTCACCCCGAGATCCTGTGTCAGTCTTGGGTGGAGTCTAGGTGGGTGCTGGCCCGTGTCTTGGTGCTGGGGGCTTAAGGGACAAACACCTGCAGCCTAGCTCTCGGCGGGCCCCGCTCCCTGGCCTCCTCCAGACAGACATCCCCGTTTCTCAGCTTCCTCCCTTGGCCTGTCCAGCAGATGTCCCTCCTGGAGCTGGGGGGCGGGGGGACGGGGCTTGGAAGGGGGCTCGCTCCTCCAGCGCGGCTCAGGTGCTCGGGCGAGGGGTGGGAGTGGGTGCCCGCGGCCCGCGCGTGCGTCGGGGACCCGGGGCTGGCAGCCGGGGCCGCGGGGCGGGGGCGCGAGCCCCACGAAGCCAACAATCAGCATCTATTGGGCAACCGCGGGGGCGCCGGACCCGGGTCCTGCCTGCCTGACCTCAGCCCGCGCCAGCCCGCGGGGGAAGGCGATCGCCCCCGCTCGGATCGCGGACAGCACAGGCTGCTGGCGGGGCGCTCTTCGCGGGGGTCGCGCCCGGGGCCAGGCCCCCTCGGAACCCCGCCCGGGCTCGCCCCTTCCTCACCGCGCGCCGCCGCCGGGCCGGCTCCAGCCTCCCCGGCGCTCCCAGGCTCCGCGGCCGCCCGCTCCGGGGACCTCCGGGCCGCCGGCCTGCTGGCCCCGCCCACAGAGGCTCCCCATTGGTCAGCCCGGCCCCCGCGGCGTCGCCGATTGGCTGGCCCCGCTTGCCCGTCCCCGGCACTTCCGGGTTCCCGCGTCGGCCCCGGCGATCCCGGGAAAGGCGAGCCGTGGGCCAAGCCCATTGGCTGGCTCCGGCGCGGTCCCGTGTCCGCCGCAGCCAATGGGCAGCAGGAGGGGCGGAGCCCGGGGCGTGGGCGGGAGCAGCGGGCGCGAGGATGCTGGGGCTGGACCACGAGCCCCGCGGTCGATCTGGTCCAGCTCCCGGGCCGCTGTCCTGGGCCCCTTGCCCTTGGCGAGGTGCAACGATGCCCAGGCCGGGGCGAGCTCTCCCTGCGCTCCGACAGCCCGACTCTCCCGCTTCTGCTCCTCCGCGCTGGCTGCCAGGCGGGCCCCGTTCCTCTTTTCTCCCACTTCCTCGCTCTTTCCTTCCCCGGTTTTAAACGTTTTGTCCTGTTAAGTAGGGCCAGACAGCTTCTTCGGTCTTGTCTGAAGCCTTTGTTGTTGTTGTTGTTGTTGGAAACAAAGCGGGAACCTTGTTTAACGCTCAGACATTGAAACGAAAGGTCCGTGCAAACGATCACTCTAGACAAGAACCGAGAGTTGAAAGTGGGTCAAGGGATGTACATGATAATCTGTCAGCATCCCTATCGCAAACATGTTGCTTAAATTGAGAGAGAGAGAAAGAGAAAGAGAAGAGAGGTGCCTGCCATAGAGGAAGTGTGTGTGTGTGTGTGTGTGTGTGTGTGTGTGTGTGTGTGTGTTGGGGTTGTGGTGGCTTGCAGGGGTGGGAGGGAAGCTGGGGACACGGGTGCTGGGAAATGACGCTGGTGGAGGGACGGGTGTTGGGACATGGCATGACGGAAGTGCAATCACAAACAGCTTTTGTTAGGGTCCAGCGTCGACCACCCTTCAGGGACAGGGACCGGAGCCGATAGTGCAAACCGCACATTCATTGTTCCAGCTAGCTGGGGTTCAAGTATCTCCGCCCGCCGCTGCGGGTTTCAACAAGGCCCCGGGCACTAGGTTCAGCAAGTTCTCATCCTTTCATTTTGTCAAGTAAGCATTACTCAGCAAATTTCTAGTATCTATAGAGTACATATATTTTTCTATGTTTTTTTGGCCCACATCATCCAGTCCACATCCTGACAGTTACATTCCGGAGAACTAATCTCGTTCCGGGGACCTAATCTTTGGTGACCATCTGGCGTTTCTTGTTTCTGGAAGAGGCCTACGTCACTCAGAGGCCACAAAGCCTGTCATGGTAATTCTCCAGCCAAGCAGGTCCTAACACTTTGTAGTGCTCTGTCTAATGGTGATTCAATCAAAACAAAACAAAACAAAAATCTGTCCAGAAGCTTTCAGCAGGGTCAAAGAAACAGGGTTTGGATTTTGTTAGCTATGTTGTGTGAGCTGGGGCCGGTGACTCAGCCTCAGTTTCCCCATCTGTATAACGTGGCCTGCTTGGCTCTGGGCCTCAAATTTGGGAGCACAGAAGTCCAGTCGCTTTAAGGATTAACCTCTTCTGTGGTACCTGTTCCCCCTTGGGAGGCAGGGTTCAAGTTCCACTTCTGCTGCTGAAGTGAATCCCATTCCTCAGACAGCTTGCTTTGGCTAATTCCCGGGTTGCCTTCTGTAGGAAGGGGATCGAGAGGACAGTGCCTTCCCGAGAGTTTTAGGAGAGACTGGAGGGCGGAGAGCTAAGCTAAGCTTTCCCATGGCAGGCAGTAATTCCGAGAGAAGACCCCGAGTCTGAGCCTCTTTGCTACCTGTAGAAGAACTGGGCTGCTCTTACTCACTGCAGGTGACGCATGTGTCCTGCAGGCAAGGTCGCAGGTGTGATTCCAGGGACTCCGCTGGCCCTCGAAGCAAAGCGAGGTGCCCAGGCCAGAGGTCAGCTGTCTTGGGGGCACATTGGGAGATGAAACCTTCATTCGGGTCGCTTTGGCCCTTGCCAGTTGGGTTTCCTGTTTCTCTTGTGTACCTGGCCCCATCCACCCCTTGCCTAGGGTATGTCTCTTACCCTTTCTGAGCTAAAGGGGTGGGGTACGTCTGCAGGACTAAGGGCTGTAAACACCTCCTGGGGAAGTCACCCTCCTTTGCCCAGGCCTCCCTGGGATGTCATTGTCACCTTCCAGTGAGTTCAGGCCACAAGCAACAGGCCCAGATGTTAAACAGAACCATGAATCTCTGCCTCCGGCGGACCCTAAAGAAACACCCTCCCCCCTTGCGCTGAATAACAGATATCCAAAGCATGGGCAAACCAGGCATTATCAGAAACCCACCGAGGTGGCAGTTGTTCGAAGGGCTTCCTTTTCTTTCTTTGTTTAGGGGGAGGCGGTGGTTTTTGAACCACACCCACTGCTGATCAGGGCTTACTCCTGGCTCTGTGTTTAGGGTCGCACCTGACAGGGCTTGGGACCTGTATGTCATGCCGGGGATCGAACTGGAATTGGCCTTGTGTGAGGCAAGTGCCTTAACCTTCGTATTTTCAACCCCCATCCCCCGCCCAACCTGGGCTTCTCTGCTTATCCTTTGAACAAAGCCTTTGACTCCACATTGTCCTCTCGGAATTCCCTGAATTTCCCTTCTGGTGGCTCACACAGTGCCCTGCTGTGCAGTCAGCTAATGGACGGTGAGACTTTGGGGTCAGGCAGAGGAGTGGTCAGATGCAGCGCTTGCTGCCGGTGTGACCCGGGGTACATCGTCGCTTATCCTCTCTGAGCTAAGAGGGGGAGGGCACCTCTGCAGAACTAAGGAAGGTGAGCCCCTCCGTTTCCTACTCCTTCCTGGGATGTCATTATCACCCCTCAATGAGTTCAGGCCACAAGCAACACGCCCAGATGTTAAATAAGATCATCTTTGTATAAGGCTAAGAGGGGACGGTGGGGACTGCGTGACTATGAGGGCCCCTGCCTTGTCCACAGTGGGTTGCAGCCTCTAAACTCTGGCTCAGTTTCACTGGGGTGCAGTCCCTAAGACAAGATTCTTCAGTTTTTAATTTTTTTCCCCAGGGGAGTGTTTTGGGCCATACTTGGCAGTGCTCAGAGCTTACTCCTGGCTCAGGGATCACTTCTGGCTGACTTGGGGATGGGATGACGGGATTGAACCCCGATTGGCCTGTATGCAAAGCAAATGTCCTGCCTGCTGTAGTGTTGCTCCACCCAGAGTCTCCAGTTTTTATTTTCATTTAATTAATTTATTAGTTTGGATTTTGGGGTCACACTCAATGATGCTCAGGAGTTATTCCTGGTTCTGAACTCAGGAATCACTCTTGGCTGTGCTCAGGGGGCCATATGGGATGCCGGGGATCAAATCGGTTGGCCACACGCAAGGCAAATGCCCTTGATTCTCCAGTTTTTTTAAAAGTAATATCAGACCTAGATTCTCAAGCAACATTTCCAGATTCTTAAGCAGTTGGTGCGCTCTGCCCACAGGCTGCAAAGGACAGCCAGGTTATGGTCAGTCCCGGTTTGGGGTTTTATTTTTTTAATTATTATTTTATTATTATTATTATTAAAGGGCTGGAGCGATAGCACAGCGGTAGGGCGTTTGCCTTGCAAGCGGCCAACATGACTGACCCGAGTTCGATTCCTCCGCCCCTCTCGGAGAGCCCGGCAAGCTACCGAGAGTATCTCGCCCGCACGACAGAGCCTGGCAAGCTCCCCGTGACATATTCGATATGCCAAACACAGTAACACAAAGTCTCCAATGGAGACGTTACTGGGCCCGCTCGAGCAAATCGATGATCAGCGGGAGGGCCTTTACCTTTACTTTTTATTATTATTATTATTATTATTATTTGCTTTTTGGGTCACACCCAGCGACGCACAGGGGTTCCTCCTGGCTCTACACTCAGGAATTACTCCTGGCAGTGCTCAGGGGACCATATGGGATGCTGGAAATCGAACCCGGGTCGGCCGCGTGCAAGGCAAACGCCCTCCCCGCTGTGCTAGCACTCCAGCCCCGGTTTGGGGTTTTAATACTGGACAGGAGATGGACAAGATGACCAGGAATCCACAAACCTCCCCT